ATGTTGGCGTGCATGTTATTGGGCCCTGAACAGTGATTTTACACTGTTTTGAATGGGGCTTGACTGTACCTTATAAATAGCGCCACGCCCTCTTGAAAAAAAAATGGAATGTTAAGCGACTTGGACATATCTATAGGTAAAAGTGCGCGTAGCGCGGCAGTGCAGTGTACGCGTGACCTGGCCGGCGAATTTTACGTATTTATCCTAGTCGTAACATATGGATTGAAGAACAATAAATTTACAGGGTGCCTGACTAATTTTAATGATGATGACACCGTACTTTACCGTCGATTGCGTTTCGTTTACGAGGTGCTACGTTTTCTTACCGTGATGAACATCTCCGTGTAACTTTTTCTGTTGAAAAGAGCCATTACACGCCAATTTTGTATTGAGGTATGGGGTATATTGCACTTAGTTTGTGTTCACGTAGTTGTTAATTTATAATATAGTAATTGGCGTCGAAATCGCGTCGGTATTCATCATTGACATGAATCATTTTAACCGTTTCGGCATTTGTGCATTGCGGACGCGAACATGGCGGGCGGGTACTCCCAGAATTGTGAGGCACTCTCCGTGTGTCTCACAGTCACAGTTCAATTTGAATCCCAGCTGAACTTCAAATGGGATTCTGAATGTGTCCGTTTTTATTTTGGCCAGTAAAACTGCACATTTTCAATCAAATCAAATCTTCCCTCCAACGTGTCCAAAAGCCGTCCACTCATTAGGCCTTGATCATGATGGTTTTTGAACGAGCTAATTTGGGCAAAATTCAGACGTTTTTAACATGCTGACAAGTGTCATGTTTAAGTTTTAGTACTTACGATCTTGCCTCTCTTCAGCAAATGATCCGCACATTTGAGCTGCATACTACGGCGCATGTCCAGTTGGTTGACAGATTTTTTGGGGGAAGTTTTGATTGAAAAACTGCAGTTTTAGACAGAATAAACAGGTACATCATGTCCATTCAGAATCCCATAGCATTACAAAGCATTGAAAATCTGTAACAGTGTGAGACACACAAAAATCGAGAGTGTCTCATTTCTGGGAGTAGCAGACGGACTACCCCCAGAACTGTGGGTTTATCATCTACTGCACGGCTGACAATGAACCCCACAGTTCTGGTTTTTGGACAGGCAGGAAAGAGTTTCATATATGAGCAATTCCAGAAACTAGGGGTCAATTTTTTGTATGGCCCTGTTACATCTGACATATGATTTTGTAAGTTCAGAACACATTTTCTAATTTCCAAGAGTGATGAATTAATGCATATTACCTGCCAAACAAAAGTAATAGTTTGGTTGAAATCAATTCCAGTGACATTTCCATGTCAAATAAGAAAGGTCAGATGTACATGTAACAGGCATGACAGGGACACAAAAATGTCACACTTTTGGACCACTAATTTCTGGAATTACCCATATATAGCCTTGTAAATGTGCAACGGACATGACTTGACACCCCAGAGTGCCTACATGTATTTCATGTCATGTATGTCCTGAATTTGTCTTCATCTACATGCATGTACATGTAATATGAGCCAGGTCTCGAGACCGCCTTGAGACCTTTTTTTGTGGTCTCTGTCTCGCCCTGTCAAAGTCTCGGTCTTGTGAGGGCCGGTCTCAGTCTCGGATGCCATAGTCTCGGGTCTCCCCTTCGAGACCAATCGAGACCATAACAAAATGCGCATCTAGCTCCCACGCATGCACTCGGTTGCAAAAGGCAAAATTACCTCCACTCGAGTCAATTCTTCAACCACTGATATAAATACAAGACAGTAATGTTCAGATTTTTTGCAATAAACAATGAAATTGATGCTGGAATGAAGACTAGTCAATGCAGCATGATGCAGTCTTGTCCCAAGTTGTTACTTTATTTCCAATTCAGAGTAGCCATGCTGCTTGACACCATGGAGATGAGGTTGTGAGTAGTGGAATTCGCACACTAGACTGGTTCCCGTTCCCTACGTAGTCTCCTGCTGAACCTAGGGCCAGGACGGGAACCAGTCTGTGTGTGCGCACGCTATGAATTGTGTGCACTTGTGAAAGAACTTTCATTCCGTCTTGTATGTGGTATGTGTTGTTTTAGTAGTTTTGTTACGGTACATCTTTTTTGGATATTGTTTTTCAGTATTTTGCTTACAAAAAAACAGTCTAAGGATATTTGTTTTAATGTTCACATCATGTCATTTGGGACACTGGTTGAAAATGACCAGACCAGGGTAAGAGTAGAGCAGTATCACTGATAAAAGAACTGAGACATTATTTAACAAATATTTGACCTATTTGTGTGTGTGTTTATGCTAATGTTTTCATTTTATTTCTTTTATACTGAATTGTACTGCCATATGTTTGTCCCTATTTACCTTGTGGTAAAAACTAAACATCGGTTTATGGTTGGTCTCAGTCTCAGATGTCGTGGTCTCGGTCTCGACCTGCAAAAGCCTCAGTCTCGAAGTCCTGGTCTTGGTCTTGAAAGGAGTAGGTCTCGGTCTTGGTCTCGCATGCCTTGGTCTTGGTTTCGGACATCAAGGTCTCGGATACAACGCTGATATGAGCCATCAGAAAGTGATAACATGTTCTAAGGAGTCGAAGGAGAGTATTCTATCTAAAAGGGCCTTTTCCCTGCTATGACCTACATGTACATGTACCTGGGTTATTAGCCACCTGAAAGCAATGTCATTGCCAATGACAAGAAAAGGTGATTGGCTGAGGCCGAGGGCAGAGTTATCGATAAATAGGCCTTGTGCATGAAGATCTACTTATTTCACAGAGATCGAGACATGTATACATTATACATGTATATTGGGCACAATCGATGAGTGTGATTATGTTGCACCGTCAGTCAACCCTGTGTGAAATCTCTGACTTGACTTTGATTTTTAAAACAGTCTTTCACAACCGTGGATTAGAAAGCAAATTTAAAAAGGCAATTTACTGATGACAGAATTATCAGCAAACGAAGCAACAGGATTGACTTATCACACAATGATTGAGTGATTGCACATGCTCCCAACGTATGTCATATATGTCAGAGTGTGAACAGGTGAACATGTACATGTGTCATGGAGTACCTGAAAAGTATCATGGAGTACCTGACAAGTATCATGGAGTACCTAAGAGTATCATGGAGTACCTGAAAAGTATCATAGAGTACCTGAAAAGTATCATGGAGTACCTGAAAAGTATCATGGAGTACCTGAAAAGTATCATGGAGTACCTGAAAAGTATCATGGAGTACCTGAAAAGTATGCATTTAAGGTTGTAAGTTTTCCTTTACTGAGTTACCAACCTTGATATTGGTTTTTTGCCCTTTTTTCAGAAACGGAACAAAAGTTTTGTTTGTAGTACCTAAATGATTTACTCATAACATGTACATTCAGGCCTATCACTTTTGGGTAATTTACTCTAAAGAATAATAGTTTATGCCTAACTGTGAAGGGAGAAAGAGTTAAGATTTTTTTAATTTTTTTGTTACCTGCATCACCAAACTTCAATTAATAAACACACTTACTGTACATGTATTTGTACCCAATTCAAGAGGCATAGTTCAAGTTTCAGCAGTAGGACACAGCCGACACCTTGTAAAATACATGTAAGTCTACAGTAAACATGCATGTGCGAATTATGGTGAGATAAGTTTTACTAGAATCAATCCAACTTGTCTGCAGACAGCGCCATTCTTCAGTCTTTATTTTTGAAGATTTTGATGATGATTCCTCATTTGCATTAGCTTTGTATTTACAGACATGATTAACTTCCTCAGCAGGATACATGCAATTTACATATATATGTAGACTTGTATCTGACAAAAGACCTTTCAGTTTTGAGCTTTAGTATTTCCCAAGGATACATGTACATGTATATTCCAAACTACCAATTGTCAGATTTGTAAATATCTTTGAGGAAGTGGAATGAGTCATGTGGTTAAATGTTTAATAAAAAATAAATTGGAAAGTAACAACATTTTTGCATGTACGTGTACTTGGTGATGTAATGTTCTGTGTATAGCCATGACAGCTTCATGTACATGTTGGTTATACAAGGCTGTAGGCCTCAAACCAAATTCCAACTTGTGAATTTGATTGTAGTGTTCATGTTATCAATGAAAAATCTTTTCTTTTTTTTTAGGGAGAATCATTTTCATCTTTGAAAAATTGTGTGGTCATATGACTTGTTTTAGTGCACCTTAGCATGTTACTTAAACGTACATGTAAGAAGGCAATTAGCAAGGGAAATAAATCAAGCCTATGACCTCTTGGTTTAGGAAACTGGATTTCCTGTAGTTTATCACGCAAGCGCACATGGCCAAACTACCAGTACCTACATACATGTACGTTGTACATGGAGAATGTAGTCTGTAGTATGTATGTACAGTGTGGCATGTCTGCATGTGTTGGATATGAAATCTTATCACATGTACATGCGCGACAGAACCAACTCTAAGTTTCTAACCTCAGGGAGAGAAGACAGTTTTTGAAGTGGGGAGTGTACTGTTTTATGGATTTAAGAACAATCCTTCAAAATTGGTCACACATTGTACAGGCTGTGTGTATTCATGGTTTTACCATGTGGTAGCTACACAGTATGTGTCCCCACATCAGCTGGGTTGAAACACGGACCTTCTACTTAAGAGGGTCCGTGGCTGAAATGACACATGTACATATGTACCAGTATTGCCTCTGATTTGTTTGATATTGGTGCAATATCTTCATGAATTTACTACCCATGTCATGCTCTTGATGGGGTTATGAAATGGCAAGTTCAACACTGAGTAATCTTTGTGAAAACAAGTGGTCATTTTCATGCACTGTTGCACCACTTTGAAGAATTATAAACAAAATCCAATACCAATGCGACCTAGATATAATTTTGTCAAGTGAATTTTGTTTTGCAGCCACGTGCATGTACTGTACATGTACATACCGGGACATATACAGCAGCAGTCTCAGAGATAAGCAGAAACAGCCCAAGCCTCATCGATGAAATATCGAACCTAAATTAAAACCAGACAATTTTTTCCGAAGCTGCCATATCATTTTCAAGTAATTGACGTGGTGTGACTTCATATCATTTTTCATACAACACTGACGCAAAATCACCAATGTTGCTTGTGCTCTTTGATTTGTCTGCAGGCATGGGATAATACCACACTCCACTCAGGACTTACGGAGCGAAGACTTGAACTGAAGTAGTGGAAAGACTAGACTGGCTTGGCAAGGAGCTGTTGGCATGAACATTGCGCCTGTGACGTCACTTGTTGGGTTGCACATTTCTTGGGGCTAGACTGAGTCAGCAGTATCGTGCCCAATTTCCTGTGCAGATTTACCCCTAAGGACTGATTTCTGTGCCAAGACTAACCTGGCACGGGACACTAGACAGGTTGAATAGCCGGGCAGCAAAATCACCCAGGAAAAAGGAATAAGAACCTTGACATTAATTTCCCCCTCTATAAGCAGGGAAAGTGTATTAACACATGTAAACGTAAAGAGGTTTTGTTTGTTGATGTCTGATGTATACAGTGAAATAGAACAGTTTTAACAATGGGGTAATCGGACAAATATAATTGGACACTGAAAGCCTTTTCAAAATGGCTCCTGTTAATTGTATTCCCAAGATCGTTTGTAGATGTCTGTGGAAACAGACTACCATCACTACTGAGAACCCCCATCAGGGTGGGGCTAAGAGTGAAGCGTCTGGCAGAGATTTACTGGGTGCAATTGGCGGCTACGACTGCACATTCTAAGCATGATGGCTACCATCATCACCTTTTGAGTCCACTCCGGGCTCATTCTCTTCAATCTCAGCTGTCCGTCTGCCCCCTCATCCCAACCTCCGCCTCCCATCTAATCATCAAGTATGATAACGCTTCCTGCTCTGCAATCTTGGCTGGGCCAAGAGCTCGAGCTACGAGGCATTGATGCTGTCATTTACACACGTTACATCCTGAGTATTCTACAACAGGACAGCTTCGAGCCTGATACAGAATTTGATCCCTTCCTGCCGCAGAAGGAGGTCAAGTCAACTAAGGGCAAAGTTCATCCAAGGAAATTCCGCAAGTCATGGACCGCAGATGACTGGAAGAAATACGCCGTCTTAGAATGTCTGCAAGCTGTGACTGATAAGGTAAGACATGTAATCAACCGAAAATAAACCAAGATTTAGAGCATGTGTTTCAAAAGTGTCTGTCTGTAAAATACCGGTACCTGGTGAAGTGTCCATTTTTAATCCCACGTAATACGGAAGACCATTTTTTCATCAACTCAAGCTACCATAAGTTTCATGTACATATGTAGATGAATGGCATTGGATTTAAATGTGGTCAACTTATTACATGTAAATCAGATCCATTTTATCGTAGAAGTGCCAGTAAATAAAATGAGTTCCAAATTACAAATTGAAGTGGAAACAAACTGACAAAAACACAATAATAGAAGACTACAGTTTATGTGTATAAGGAATATGTTACACGTAAGTTGACTGTACCGTAGTTCACTCATTTATGTGCTTGTGACCAAAGACAGCGAGGTCACTAGTACACAAACTGACCAGATATAACCAATCAGCAAGACAGAAGAATGCAGACATGGCTCCAGTCTAATGTCAAGGTACATTGTAAAGTGAGGTTTAATTTCACATGATAAATGTCAACAAATCCTTTGGGCCACAGACTAACATATACATGTAGGCCTAGTGAAACACAATCTTGGTGATAGGTGACAGGTGTGTACTGTCCCATTATTTCTGTAATCAATCAGTACCAGTCATGTTGCAGCATTTATGTAGCATGTACATGTACATGCATTGTACTGTACATGTACGTCTGTGTGTACACCCAGTGTGTGGGATGGATGTGTTCAGGACATATTATGTCCAATGTATTTTTGGTACTTCTACGTATTGATGTACCTTGACTGGGTGCAAGACTTGCCCTTTAAAAATAGCTATTGGGTAATTCCAGAAATTAGGGGTCCATTTTTTTCGTGTCTCTGTCACATCTGACATATGAGTTTGTCAGTTCAGAACACATGTTCTAATTTCCAAGAGTGACAACTTAATGCAAATTCCCTGCCAAACAAATAGTAATACGGTACATGTGACGTGTACTTTAAAATCAATTCCGGTTTTACATTTACATGTATTTCCATGTCAAATAACAAAGGTCAGATGTACCGGTACATGTAACAAGGACTCAAAAATATCACACTTTGGGACCTCTAATTTCTGGAATTACCCTGTATTATACAAAATCCTTGGTCACCACTCTGTTACATGTATGTTTATGTACATGTACATGTGTGTACAGTGGGCGTTCAGACATACATGTACATGTATGTATACATGTGCATTCACATTGCTTACATGTACAGTGTACATATCACATGTGTAGTGTGGTTGTGGTTGGTATGTACTGTACATGCTGTGCCCTTGACAAAAGAAATACATGTACATGTACACCAACATTGTGGATCTCCCAAATATGGGCAGTGTTGGCAGAAGCAATCTGTGTAGTGTAGTCCTGAACTAAAGAAGTGTTGTGTATGTACAACACTCGGTGTACCATTATGCATGTACATGTATGCCTGAGAATGCTGTGGTGCACTAAATATGGATATGTTGAATAGAGACTAAGAACTCAATTGTTTTTTAACTACATGTAAGCAAGCGATTGTTGGGAGAACTATAGGGAAACTTCTCTCTGTGATACCTACAAGGTAGATGATTCTTAAACTGGTTGCGTATGAATGTCCTTTTCAAATGAGAATAATTCAGTGCTTCTTTTGGCAATGTATTCCTTGATCGGCAACATCATGATTTCATAATCCAGTGATCCTTCATCAGTTTGAAGGACAGAGTCCATAGTCTGAAGTTCTGAACATTTTCTCCTGACCTGTGTCTTCATGAAACAATGCATTTTTCCCCTCAAAATGCAAATGCAAAAAACCCTTGTGCTCTGTTTAAAACACAGGCATCTCAAGTCTTAATTTGACTTTATCGTTTAATGTACATGTACACGCACATGTCCCTTAGAGATGTTATCTTGCACAAATGATGAGACCTACATGTGTTAGATTTTCTGATGACATGCTATAAGTTTCTGTGACGTGGTCAAACTGGAAATCCATATCACTCTGTCATCTCATGCTTGTTAGCACAAACATGTTTTTCTGATGATATGCAACAAATTTCTGTGACGTCATCAAACTGAAAACCGTATCACTCCATCGCCGCATGGTTTGAAGTTAAACTTTATGCACTCTTTATAGTACATGTACACATACACTGTACATATGTGATACGGCATTAATTCTTCCCAGAGGTACAAAGCATGTTACTGTTTTGTTATGTACATTTATGTGCAGACATAGTAGCTCAGCAGTGTGTCAGTGATCAGAACAAAGACCTAAACTACCAGAGGCTTTTTCATGTCTGTGCAAGTTTGTGATGGTTCCTTGAACTTCCCTCATTTATAAGCAATTGAATTCTAGCATTGTAGCAAATAACAGAAGGACTTGTTAGCCAGTCTAGCCTAAATCTCCTTCAACATCCATCCTCTGGGATGCAGCATTCTTGAGATTCTTTACAAGTCACACCAGTGATGCAGGGAGGAACCCAGCCAGGCAGTCAGCAAGGAAATTGTTCTAGTGAACTTGAGCTTTATGGCACAGTAGACAGACCAAACCATCATGGCGCAGTTGTTTCATTGTGTGAGATAAATTGGATTACCCATTTGTCTTCATCGTCAAGATGTGATTTGATAGTCAGACAAGTCATGCATTTCATGCTGGTATATATGCATGAATTGCAATATCTAGATTTGTGAAGCACTGTTGTTCTTGTGGACAATGGAAATCAAACTGATGCTGACTAGTTCATACCCATGGATCTGTCCTAATTTTGCTAAGGAACACAGTTAAAGAAGATCTGTGAACAACACAACTGTGCCAGAATTTTGTAGTGCAAATTGATAGACGGGAGTTCTGCTTGTTGCATCATGGAGTGAACATCTTCTGAAGATGAGTCCGATGCCATGAGGAGGATAATTGTGTCACCAGTGTGCTTGAATGTGAAATTCAGTACATCGAGAATGTGCGGTTATCTCCATGGAAATTGAACGTTTTTTACATTACATGTAGATGAGTTTACTCAATCTGCGACTGGGACTCCTGATGCATATTTGTATCCATCCATTTCTGCGGCAATGGAGAGAGATCTCATCTCTATATCTGACATGGCAGGGTGTTGTCAATCGGTAATACATGTAGATCCTGTAGTTCTGGTCATTAATCTTGGAAGTAGAGAGTTTTTTGCAACAAGAGCCATGACTGATTGAGTGGATGGGGCACATGTTCCTTATTTATGATGCAGGGAAATGGCTGCTGACGATGCACAGACAGGTTGAGAAGGGTCATGCAAAGGGCCATGAAAACTCTGTTGTTACATGGTTCACATGTATGCGTTTCACTTTGACAGCTAGAAAGAAAAAGGGAGGATATACCATTGGTAAAACTCACCAAAGTGAGGACTACATTGTACATGTATCAAATTATTGTTGAATAATTTATCTTGCTTAAAAGAAAGTACATGTATATAATAGCCTTGGGCAGTTAGTGAAATATTTCCACCCAGAATTCTGCTGTTTTTGAGAAAACAGAACTTTTGCACTGTTTTTAAACAATGGTTGATAGACCATCATTTGAAAATATGTTTTGTTATAAATACAGTGTGCATTGACTGGTGCAAATTTTTGTTCGTGGTGACAGAAGCTGTCGTAGGATTGTGAGTGAATTAACCATTCACACACAACTCTTTATGCTGTTTTTGCATGTGGTACAGAATGTTAAAATTATTTTTCTGTCATAATTCATTGCCGATGGAAAATTCAAGCTTTCTTTACAATTCTGGCTGGTACAGTAGGCCTACATACATGTGTACCGTATGGTTGACTATAGAATTGACAAAAGTCATTTGTCGTGATGTCAGATGATACTTTTGAGACATACATGTAAGATCCTGACCTTGCATCTGTGCAGCTTGTTATGTTAATAGACCCTTTGCAGGCGGCTTGCACGGCCAATGCTGCAGGTGTTGCACAAAATTTGATTTTTTACCGGTATTTGCAGACAATTTTATCCAATAATCGTGAAACAAATCTGTTTCAGCTACATGTACATAATGTAGTGCTGGGTAAAAAGCTATTTGTGACTTCGTAAATAATGCACAATATGTGCACAATTTTGTGTGTGTGTCAGCGATATTGGGAAAAATAATAAACCACAAAAAAGATTAAATGTCGGTAGCATGACATGCATTCTACCAGTACCCATAAGGCATTGTGTCAGGATAGTTAGAATTCAGATTATTGTGAATCCCTTCCATTGAGAACTTCAAATTTTTTCATTACATTTTGGGCACATTTTCGTACGGAAAGTACATGAAATTGTGTTATCTTCATTTTAAGAGCACCTCTAAGGAAAAGTTTTTAAATTTCTGATTAATTTAATTATATGCATTCAGTTACATGTAAACTAAACAATTCTTCCAAAATTTGCAATGTTTTTGGAATTAACAGGCACATAAGGAACTTTGTTGTCAATCCATTTGTAACCAAATTCCCCCAGGCAATGTTCAAAGTTTCCCAACTCTGTTGCAGAACTGGAGGTATTTTATTTTTAATTCATAAATCCTGTTCTAATGAGGAATTTTGAATTTGTTGTCTAGAAAATATATTCATTTTTTTCATAAAAGCAAGCTTGTATTTTAAAAACTTTAAGTGAGAGTTTGAATTTGATAAGTGACAAACTGCTGAAATGGGATCCTCATTTGTAACATGGTTGATGATATTTAATTTCTCTGACCAGGATTGTGGGATTGAGAGTCTGGTAGAAGAACTATGTGTTAAACTGAAGCGAGTGAAAGAGGAACGTGACAGAGGGACCAAGGATGGAGTTGGAACCAGCGATGAGGAGACAGGCTCACCACTGAAACCAGGCGTGAAGACTGAACATCATGAGAACCCTGCTTCCCAAGCTGCAAAGTGAGAAAACTAAATTATATATACTAAATTATATTGTACTCCCCATTTACTTTGATTGATTGACTGCATTTATATCTCATTGCTTCCTAGTAAATTTGAGTATCTTACAAGTCCTTTAAAATCAATCACTTTGACTTCAGACGTTTTGATTGTTATTTCCTAACAATACACACAAATTAACAAAAATAAGAGTATATGTGTAGGGTAATGTGATCTTTTTGTTATCTTTGTTTCCTTACATATCATGTGTACCTTGAGTATATATACAAATAAACTGCAGGTATATTTTTCTTTCTTCTTTATGGTTTCAGGTATTACCAGGCTTTCCCGGCCCTTAGTGATAAAACAAACACCATCATGACCTCCGATCCCAAGCCGCATGGAGCCTGGGCTTCTAGCAAGAAATCTCCACCTGATGGTCAGGTAGAGATGACCAAAAGAGAGAGGAAAGTGGTCAAGAGTGTCTCTGCCTCCTCCTCCAGAGGGAGTAGATCTCCTGCTAGGAAGCACCAGCGGGCCAAAAGTCTACCAAACAGCATGAGCCACCCTGATGATAACTTGACGTTTGTAGTCCCTAAATATCAGTCCAAGAAGAGTTATGGGAGGAAACAGGTTGAGGGAAAGCCTTCAACTGAAAGGAATGGGGAGATAATGGGAAGAGTTGGAGATAGGATTGGCGCTGTGACAATTCAAGCCAAGAATCTACAGCAGCCATGTGCCTGGGAGAGAAAAGAGAGGACCCAAGAGGTTTTGAATGTCAGTCCCAGCCAGAGTCCAGAGTTTGAAGAGTTGTTGGAAGATGCTGTAGTTGATGAGAAGGAGATTAGCTGGTTCACAGAGCCGGTGATTCCTGTCCTGGACCGGGGGAAGGGCCTAAGTAAGCTACAGACAGTCTACCAATCAGGCGCCAGTAGTCCATGTGTCAAGACATCACCTAGTGAAATCAGCTTGGAAGAAGCTGTCAATTCACTGGCAGAGAGCCTCTGCCGTGACATATTTGAAGATGATCAGTGCAATGTAGGCGATATCCAGTCCGAAGAAGGTCCAGTACCCATTCAAGAGGTCTGTGAAGGCGACATGAGTCCACATGTACCTCAACTGGTCACTGCTGTCCACAGTCTTCTGGAAGGAGATTCAGCAGAGAGAGGAAGACATGGAGATAAGCCAGATCTCTTGTCTCTGCTGGATTCTAGCAAATCTGATGCATATGCCTGTCAAGGAAGAAATGTCTCTTCCCTGCAGGCCATGCCATTGCTAGTCGTAGACAGCCAAGCCAGTCTGAGCATGCGACAAGGTCAGTCTGGGAAAGATACAGATGTTGAATGTATGGCCCACCAGACTCTGACATCGTCTACTTCATCAAGCCAAGAGCATCTGGAAGACCATACCACTGACTTAGGTGGAGCTCCTTACCCACTATCTTGCATCTGGGATCAAGAGCTTCCACCTGCCAAGGAGCCCTGGGAAAGATCTCCACAAAAGTTGAATGCGTCTAACTGGCCAGATCAACAGGAATGCAGTAAGGAGCAATGTTTTGAGCAAAGTCATCAAGAGTGCACAAAAATAGGCAATGTCCAGGATTTACCAGAAGCCTTAAAGGTAATGGTAGATCACGACAGAATAACAGTATCTGCAGTGGGTTCCCTTCGGGAAGAAGAGTCACTTCTTCGTATCTGTTGTCCAACACACAGTCATCACCAGTGCCCTGCTACATCTGCTGTGATTAGTCAGTTCCTCCCGGGCCATTTTCCATTCTCAGAGGAAGCATTTGGTCCAGAAGCACCTCTGCCAAGTCCCAACAGTGTGCTTTCCTGCAGCGACCCAGGAAGTCCATTCTACTCTGAAAGTGAACAAGATTCTTTGGCAAAGGGTATTATATCTGCTTGTAATCTGGATGAATCAACTCCTACTGCTGCTGATGTTCAACCATTGGACATTAACAGCGCTCTGTGGTCAACCTATGATACTCAGCCACGATATTACCATCCCCCCAAGATAGTTCGTTGGGAGGATGGCTCCTTTGTCAGGGGTGGGTTGGTAAGAAGACGCAAGAGTTCCTTCATTGAGGGTGGTGTGTATGGCAGTCCATATAGCAGTCAAAACAACAGTCACTACAATAGCTGCAGCACAAGTCCCTGTGAAAGTGGCAGCTTACGGGATCTGTGGAATCCAGCAGCTGTGCAGGAGGTGAGTGCCTTAGTGACTTCCATGAAGGAATTGATCAGTCCAGAGTCTGGATCAGTTGGCCGGAAGTCTGAGAGTGGCTTGAGTGATTCATCAGCTAAGAAAGGTGCAGCAACTCCAGAACAGGTGCTAGAGTCTTCTCAGCAGGATGAACAGAGTTTGATTGAAGATAGCCTCATGGATAGTCCTGTCTTCATTTGCTCAAGGAGCTCCTCTCGGTTTGAGTTTGCTCGGAGTGTGAGTGATCTAGATGGAAGTCTGAGTCCTGCCAGTGCAGCTGGTACAGAAACAGATGAAATGGTTTCAGAGGCAGAGCTACTTGAAGAAGTTCTGAAAGACCCTGGAGAGATGGAAGAAATGAAAGAGTGCAATAAGAAAGTGATAAAGAGCAAGTTAGATGCCAAAGATGATGAATGGAGTGATTCACTAAAGCAAAGCTTCCAAACTGATGGCAGCTCACAGGAGCTCACTCCATCTTGGTTGACACCTCCTCAGCAAGGCAGTGCTTCTGGTTTCACAGATGATCTTTGCTCAGAGAAGAGTCAGGGGTCTCTTAGCTTGACAGGTATTGTACCCACAATCAGCAAACCTGAGGCTATCCGGAAAGGTAGACGTCCCTTTGATCTGGCTGTGGGTGGTTCTAGTCCAATGCGACAAAAGGCTGATCTGGGAGATGGTAGTCTAGCCATGGACGAGTTACTGATATCTCCCAAGACCCATTTCCGACCCATCCATGAGAGCCTATCTCCTGATGAATCTTCAGGAGATGAGGATGCTGATGAATCTCGTGTCTTGGACTCACCTCATCCAGGGAGTCTTGACAAGTTGACCATCAGTAAAGTTGTTGGGAGTGCCCCTCGTAAGTCACCCTCTTCAGATCAGGGGCCAATGTCCAACCCCCTTGAAGTGGATCTAGGTAGTTTCCATGCCAGCAGTCCCAGCAAGGCTAGAAGTGATTATACACACGATGATGGAGCATGGGTCAAAGGTCAAGGGGGACATCCAGCAAACTATGCAAGTTTGCAGTGGGTGGTTGGACAGCATGGTGAACACTACAATTGGACAGATGGTGAAGGTCATGTAGAAGCCCCAGTTGGAGTAGAGATGGATCCTATCATGCATCTAGACTACGAAAACCAGGTAGCTTTTCCTTTTTTTAGCACATTAAATGTAACAAAAATTGGATATTTATATTTGTTACATGCTCCGGGAAAAAGTGGTCAGAGAGATTGCAATGATCATTTGTGAGAAAGCCTAACTTGTAGCCAAGAGAAGTAAAAAGAGATAGAGTTGTCGATGATTAAGGGACACTCTTGTGCAAGATTTGCAAAGTAGCTTTATCAAATAAAATTTCTTCAATTTTATCCACAGATGTTTGCATTCGAAGACGAAGCCTCCTTAAAGGGGGAGGAACTTGCTAATGTGGGAGGTGGGACGGTGAAAGCAGTATATTCCTCGCAGCTGGAGGAAATGTGGCTAGGAGAAGCAGCTAATGATGCCAAGCAAAGCAGACCGCCCTGGAGGAAACACAGACGGAAAATAGGTATGTCTTCATTTAGTCGCATATCTTGTTCCTAAGCTACCTTTTTATCTCCTTGAATTAACCCCTTGATGACGGGAATTTCTTCCCAAAAGCTGACTCCAAGAATTCCAGCCTCGCTTGGCCACGAAGGCCACCTGCCAAACCGCAAATTCTCGGTTTGTGGCCCTGCGTGCTCTGCACGCTGGGGACTATTGTGAAGCTGGTGATTATGATGCAAAATTGGTCTTTTCATTTCTGGGCTACGCACAAAGGCCAATTACCATATATACAAGAGCCAGGATCTGCCTTCTTTCACCGTGTTCGCTCGAGTGTGGGTTGAGAATAATAGCTGAAAAGTGGGCTGAGGATGTCAATTTTTACGGCGGCTATTGCTGCCTCCCGGTGCGAAAGGGTTAAGATGCCATTCTGTAATATTTGGAAATTTTTTTTAGGTTTTCACAAGAAGCCATGTAGTTTTTTCTTGGAGGGGAAGTGTCGTCGGACAGACTGCCCCTTCGCTCACGATGTCAGCAGCATTGTTTGTCGATTCTGGGAAGAAGGGCAATGTCTAAAAGGAGGAGAGTGTCCATTCATGCATGGATATCCAAGGTAAGTCACTGTGTAAGCTTCTCTGAGTAGATAGACCTGGAGCTCTCCCAGTCACACTCATCTTGTCTTCAGTGGACTGAGGAGGCTGTTCGTGTGTAACTGTCATTCAGCAGCGTTGAAAGTGATTGTCAGTGGGAGATTACCTGCGCATTTGTGTCGGACTCTTCTACATCCATTGAGATGTATCTGTTGCTATCATTATTGTTAATAAAAAGATTACCTGTGACATTGTTCTTGGAACTATTGTTTTAAAATCATATCAATCATGTATGTGAATCACTATATTTGGGTCAGCATGAAGTTTTAAGTCTTTGATTGGCCTTTTTTTTAAACAGTGAAATACATTCTTCGGAAGACAGGCTTTCTCCAGTCTCCAAATATGGCCAAGTTGAAGCCTTAAGAAGAAAGAAAAATACAGAGGATGGTGACGGAACATGGCACGCTCACACACAGGTGAGTAGTGTGTGATAAGATTGTGAGGTCCCACTACTGTTGGACTTCATCTCTACATGTACTTGGCTGCCTCCAAGATTTTTCATTCATGATGTATCAGATGGGTTCCTACTCATTTATCTACAGAAGAAACGCTTTTGAGGTAACTTTCTTTACTTTTTGTCGCCAATGTCTCAGATGACTCCTTCCTCTTCACGTCTGACATCAGAGGGCTCTGTACCATTTCCAAGGAATCAAAAGTCTTTGGGTCAGCTTCCGTTGGATGTCAGCCCCAAGCATGCTAGGTCTCTTCCAATTAACATCCGTTCAAAACCAAGGTGACGTTGGCTTCCCGTTTAGAACTTTCTAGTAGCATCTTTTCGTTGTTAGTCTTTTTGTGGGTAGGAATGAGAATACTAGTCCTTTTCGCTACATCCTTAGGATTGTTTGAGAGTATGTTTGTAGAGATCTGTTGATGTTTGTCAAGTTTAAGAACTACAGTCCTTGAACTGTGGCTTAGATGAAAGCCATGGATCAGCTACTTTTTCATCCTTTCTACTTCCCATGTGTGCTACAATGAATTGTAAAACGCTGTACAAAGTCTTGTGCTGCATGGAATCTTTGACTTCCCAGTGACGATTGCACTGGATTCTGTCACATGGATTGCAAGTGGTTTGTTGTGATGTATTATCCTCATATATGACACCACATGGATACATTTACAGCCGCCAATGTCACAGCAAAGTCTCTCTTTGGGTTGGGGTACTGGTAAGAGTAAGGTTTGGGTAATTCCAGAAATTAGGGGTCCAATTTTTTCGTGTCTCTCTCACATCTGACATACGATTTTGTAAGTCCAGGCCACATTTTCTGATTTCCAAGAGTGGTAAATTAATGCAAGTTACCTGCCAAACAAATGGTAATATCTTGAAATCAATTCCAATGATATTTCCATGTCATATAACAAAGGTCAGATGTAACGGACATCAAAATGTCACACTTCTGGACCCCAGGTTTATAGCTTGACCTAACAAGCATCACCTTTGATTACTGTCTGCATTCTGCACTCGTCGAGAATTATTCTTATCCTTACTCATGCTTATAGAGTTTGTGCTTGTGTTAGAAGGATATGACTTCAATGTGTGCTATTAATATGTATTTAACAAAAAGAAAATAGCATGATCGAAAAAAAAATTAAAACTTGTTATTGCAATAGATTGGCAAGTTTCTTTGGATTGCCGTGTTGTATTTGTCTAAGTACTTCTGTGACTTGGCAGAAACCCATATAACTGCAAAACCAAGTTTTACGGGCAAGTATATTTTTCAGCATGTTTGTCTTTAAATTCTGTGAGAAATTTTCCAGCTTGCAAGTAGCAAAACTTCAACCTTTGTATTGTTGCCCTAAATCCTTTTGCAACACTAAGCATAAAATGAAAAAAAAAGTTTAAATAACTTTGTTAGCATTGATGTTTTTTGTATGGCCCTGTAGGAATGTACATCTCTGCATTTGGCTGATGTACATGTGCTTATTAAGAGGCGACTATAACTGGTTAGGAATGTAAATGATAAAAACTAACCAGGTATGCTAGGATGTCTCTTGTGTTACCCCACTGATGGACTGTAGCATAGTACTCAGACTACATAGTGATTACCCAGTCTCCTTAGTCTGGGAACCACCTTCCAATCCCATTAGGGTTTGGACTCCATGCATAAATGCCCCATGGCAGTGAGAGAAAAGGACTGGTTCCCCATTGTATGTGGTGGTGGAAGAGTATAGGTGAACCAGTCAAGTGTCCCCAAGCAGGATAATGTTAATAGACCACACACACCGCCCTCTCATGTTAATTCTTGGAGGCCATTCCAGGAGCTCAGCTTCAATGGTCAATTTGTACATGTCTGTTTGCAATGTAAATGTGTTAGAAGAAAGCAAAACAGACGGATGGTTAATTGTTGTTCCAAGTTTGTGAGAAATGTGAAAAATGTTTTAGATTTTACATTGATTTTATTGACTTTGGCACACTCCTTGTTATCCTTGTACATGTACTTGTACCTTGCCCAAGTGCATAATAGTTCTAGATATTGGGTTTGTTTAGTGTGTAGTATCAGACTGAATCTGTAAAAAGTTTTAATCTTGCCAATATTCAAATCACAATGGTTGGCTTGGGAAGATATGGACTCCACAGACCACTAGAGGGCCCCCTTCAGAGCAATCAACATAGAGGTTGCTTAATATTGATATGGGAGATTGCATCTGAACATTAGGGATGTGGCTGGATGGTACATGTGTACCTATGGAAGTCACTGACATACAAGGCTGTAGCTGGCTGATTCAGACATTGCCAGTTATTGGTACTCTTATAGAACTAGAAGTCGCCCTTGCTGTCATTAATTTGAATAGCTTCTTGACAAATACAAGTATGAGATGTTTGGAAAGCATGGGAAACTTGAGAAAATGTCTGAAATACTACAAAAATTCAGTATACTTGCAAGTTTAGATGTTTAGCTGATGTTCAGGTATATTCAGGAAGAAGTCATAACAACTTGTACAGGCTAATAGCTTTTACATATTAGGTTCCCATGGTAATTGCTATGGAAACAATGTGAAAACTGGAGCATCTATGAAGTGATTGGAGGGTTTAGTTCCTGCACTGTGTAACAAGAAAGATGCAAGTTGTTCAATCAAACGTTATGTCGGAGTGTAGTGGCGAGATCAGTGGTGCATTGGACTTATCTAAGCAGTGCTTTTAGGAAATAGTTGTTGGAAATAGGCCGAAATGAAGAAGTGGCAAATTATGCATCTTATGGTGCAAAAGAATTGAATCTTCCTGTAAAGCATGGATTGTCAGCAGTTTACAGAATTTAATTAGATGAAGATAGTTTGAGTACAACAAAAGATAAAGGATAAATTACATTTATTTCCATATCCATAACTTGAAACCTAGGAGTGATTATATAGCAGTGGATTGTGTATGCACGTAGATTGAAACAAAACGTGCACTAAACTTAGCATAAAGCAAAGTTGATTATGCGAGTATTGGCCATGGTTAAATCTACTGGTTGTATTTGCCATATGTTAGCTTTGCTAAACATGCGCATATATTTTTATACTGGGGAAACAGTATTGATGAGTGGAAAGAAAGCAGCCTCATTAACTTCTGCTGTGTTGGCGTATAGTGGTTTTGGAATTGAAACTGTGTTTGATATATACTTGATTATCCATTTTAATTAATTGGGGTTGATTATTTCATTTGAGGTGATTGTATGATAAGGGGTTTGCAGTTAAGGGAGAGAAAAAAAGCTTTCCCTCTCTCTCTGTTTCTTTTAAGCATTTGGATTTTTTAACAAATGCAAATGTAGCCTTTTGGCCAGATTGTTTCAACCCTTATTTTAGCCAGGGGCTAATATAGGGGTGAGAAATAGGAGTTTCCATCAAGGCATTTTATAAATGGGGGTGGGGGAATGGAGGGAAAATTTTATAAATCTAACAAAAAGGGGAAGTAAGTTGAACTGACTTGTCATGAATGGTCGCAAGCCAGAGATAATGAATCTTTGTCTTAACCATTGAATTTTCTCTAACTTTGTCGGGAGGGTAGGTCCTTTTATTGATGAATTATTTTCAAACAGGAAGTGAAAAACATCTGTGTAATTTTGCATGTTAGGTGATTGTAAGACTTTATGCATTCACAGCAAATAAGACGTGCATGTCGAATCACATACATTATTCAGCAGGCTGGATTAATTTATCAGAAAAAAATAGTCATCTTACAGCCAAAAATAAGAATTCGTTAACTGATTTTAAAACAGAAGTTGTTTGAAGTTTCTCCCACTAGGCTGCAAGTTCGTATTTTTTTTTCTTATTGATTAACCATACCCAGTTTGATGATTGCTTCAGTTATTCCAATTTTGTTCTTTTTTAAATGCTGATTTCACATAATGGTCAAGGAAAAAAATTAGAGGGGGTACAGCCTAACTCGGGAGTTGTTTTCAATAAATGAATAGACACATCAATCAATTAATGAGTATTCTAATGCATGTAACTCCTTAAGGCCTATCACATAATTTGGAAACCAGAAAATATGAAATAGTTGTGATGATGACATCTTCCAATTATGGAGGTAGGAGTTTATCTGAGAAAATCTCCTGGCTTCACTTTTGATGGACTGGCTTTTGAGCCTTACCTTAATCATTGTGCTTGATTTATAATGCATCTGCGTAGGTGTAGACAGGTTGGCATGGCGCCTTGGACCTCAGTTAACTCCATCTCAGTGATTGATCAAACATAACACATTGTTGTAATCTTCGATTGCATGAGAACTCTAAGGTGATACACAAGGCTGAATGAAACTACAATATTGCTAAGGTAACTAAAACTGTGCCAAAGCCAAAGAAATAATAATGACTTTTTTACTCAAGTGATATTTTATCGGAATGTATTACAAAAATAAAGTATGGGCAAGTTAACTTGAAGAGTAGAATTATTAGGGCTGTAAAATGAGAACAGTGGAATGACATGCTGTCATGGTTGTTTCGTGGTAATGTTAGCATGCCCTGATGATAATAATAGATACATGCTAGACGTTATCAAGTCTTTTGAGCAGCAGTGGATTTGTCTTCATGTTATAGTTAAAGAAAATATGATGCCACCCTGCTGGAAAAGGATCCATGGGGTAAAATGTTTCCTCTCCAGAAATTATAGACAGAATATAAAAATGAACTAAGAAATAAAGTAATTTTTAATCAGAACCACGGGCCAAGTTCATGGAGCTGCTTAAACACAATCTGCTTAAGCGTGGAAAAAGTTTGCTTAAAAAACAAATGCTACCAGCTCAAACTCTATCTGATTGTCATGCTAACCAAAAAACAGCCAAATAAGATCCCAAAACAATATACATCACATGGAGTTTTGGCGATTTACCAAACAAGGTTTTCTCGCGCTTCAGCAAATTTTGGTCTTCAGCAGCTCTATGAAATCGGCCCCAGTTTTTATATCTGTCTATCCTTGAAGAAGATGTGTTTTAGGTGTTGTTTAAGATAATTTTGTGTACTGATATTATCAACAAGTAATAAAAATATAACTTGTTATCAGTGCAGTGGAGTTTTCCCTTGTTATGAATGAGTCTAGCAATAAATCTCACACCCTAGCCTAAATTATTTGTTTGGAAAAGGCAGGTTTGATTGTGTGTAGATTAGTACAAGTCAATCCAAGTTTCAAAAAGCAGTTTTGGTTTTCAGCTTTGAGCAAAAATAACAGACCTCCTGAGTGCGTTCTGAAGGAGACAAGTAATGATTGTGAGAGCAGACCCATTCCAGTGATGTTGAAACTCTATTACTTGCTTTTCTCTAAAGTAAGCTATCTCAAATTCTGACTGGAGTGTTCGAGACATCTTTATCTGAAAATAACTGCTTCACTCATGCTCAGGGCTGAGTAGCAAACTTGGAGAGACTTTGTCATTCTTTGTTGATGTAGATTGCTATGCATTACCTTGTGTATGCAAACCTCACTAGTGTTTGGTACTGATTGTTAAATATTTCTTGTGATTGTTATGTCGGTGATAGAATTGCTTGAAATTGTTTTAAGAATAATGTTTGGTTTATTGTGTTTATTGATTAAAACTACATTACTTTCTGTTACTTTTTTGAAAACCACCTCCCCCTGGTTACAGCTTGGTTCTTTGTGTTTGACAGCATGGATCAATACCCTGAATATTGCTGTACATTGTAAAGAACTGCCGGTTTTATTGATCCGTCATTCTGTTTTATAAGTGATATTTTACAGACATTTTTCATTCAATTTGTTTGTACACTGCAGTATCAGCCAATATGAAGGCTTAATTTCACGTTGGTTCTCTCTAACATGCATCACAGCAGGCCAGTGCAGTTAATGTTTTTAGACAGATCTACTCAGACTGGCCAGGCAGTTGACAATGAAAGTACATCTATTCATTGAGTCAAAACTGTACTGCTGGTACATTCTTTCGTCCTGCATAATTCTGGCACAGTTTAAATATAAATCGCAGATATGCCTGTACATGTGTTGAGAATGTTACCGTATGATACACAGCAAAAACCGTGCCGTTAATAAAACACATTGACTCAGTTATAACCATAAGCAATCAAAACCAGCTGACCCAATATAAAGGCAAAGTGATGAAAGTTAATATCAATCTTAACCTAATTTAAGGAGGTCCGGATTAGAAGGAAAAGACTGTTTGAAATTAATGTTCTGATGACATAACAAGGATCTGTAGGCTTTTCACAATAATGCTGGTTTTGTCTAAGTTTCTAGTTCTTTAACCTTTTGACTACTGTGTTTAATTTGTGCCATGATCAGAAATATATATCACCGTTTGTCTTAGGAAATTATACTTTTAGTCAGCATACCAGCAAACATTTCTCTTGTGTTCCCTACGATTCCTGTCTGTACAAGTTACATGCACAGTCGTGGCCATTTACCACTCGTAAGCCTATCCAAATTATGCATTATTTGTTTCATATGAATATTCCAGGTTGTTAACTTCAGATGTGAAGGTAGGATTGTTGTGTACACAGGACTCATAAAAGTCACCAAACCAAGTAATATCATACACAGTGGAATTAAAAATGAAAAAAGAGTCAACGGTGTTGGAATCTGTATCCATTTGTCACAGTGTGCTTTATACATAATTACTGAGTGTTATTTTGCAAAGTCAAAACATACAAATAAACTGAAATTTCCATTTATTCGTTAAAGTTACACAAAACTGTGTTCAAATAATTGAAATCGAAAATTAGAGGGCCTGGCGATCCTATCACTCTGTCTGCGAGGCAACCATTTTAAAGATACGATAAACACCGAAAGACTGGACCATATTTTACCGTTAATGACAATCTCCATACTAGAAGCCAACCTCCTAGGATATTTGCTCTGTAATTGCAACTCAATAAAGCGGTACGCCCCTTATTCGTATGACATGCCACGTAATTGGCACGATTCCTTTAACATCGTCAATTATTAACCTTGTTTGCCCGGGGATGTCTGGCAGTAAGTAACGTAATTTGCTGTTAATGTCCGTCCAGGGAGATAAAGAAAGCTTGAAGGTACGTGGATGGAACACTTCTTACCCATGGTTAAGTTATGCTATTTTAAACATACATGTACCTGCAAAATACACAGACGTCCACATCGTTTAGATAAAGTCCTTACATGGGCATTATTTTGTATCATACTGTCGTGGAAACCAATCTGCATGACGTGGAAATCACTTTGGTAACGTACCAAGCGAATCTGCATTTGTCATGGGAGCAGTACGATTATCTTCATTCAATACTCATCACGTGGGCTGGCACTTGTTATCCATCCCACATAGAAAAACTGCTGACCTTTTCGATTGTACACATGTATTTACATAAAATAAGCCCAACTTTTCGCGGCAAGAGAATGAAACAGATGCTGTGTCGGGAGACAGGGAAGTTCAACATGATTTTACAGTATCATCATAATATTACAGCGTATTTCCTAAATCGTGTTTATAAGAATGTGTAATGCATAGTGTTTCTCCCAACCATTGTTTTCATATTAAATGAAACTGATAATTTTTAGGTAAAGTTGAATTTGAATGGGTGTGTCCTTATGGACGGTGTCCCCTAATTGACGGTTTCTTGGCCTTAAATCTGCCTTCCTTGAAATCTGTCCCGATATAATGCTCCCTTGCCGCTTTCACATTTTTAGCATCCTGTACTTGAAACGGGTTTGGTCCTTTCCAAGAGAAATGTCCGAATCGTTTGACACGAGATCTTTTTTGACTGAAGCCAAAGACTATGAAAATGGTGACACAGTAAGCAAAGATCTCGACGCAGACCATAAATAGCGGCATCTGCCATCCTGTGAAGAGCAACCAGTGAATTTCACCATATTGGGGAGAAGCATCAGTCGGATGTTCTGTAGTCAGGATCGATGTGCTTATACTTGTATTCCCGAAGGGAGAAGATTTCACATCATGCTCCCCAGAAGGGGAAGTTCTTTCTGTCGATGGGAGAGTGTCCTCGGTATTTGTTGATGCGTGTCTACTGCTAGTAGGATTTTCCTGCGAAAGAAATAATACTTTAAAATACTACTCTATGCAAAAAATACATTCGCATCCATTGTCTTTACAGTTTGAATGTGTCAAGGGGAGACATTGAATAATTATTACACATTAGTCATTTTCACGATCGCTAAAATTACAAGGTATTTATCCAAGATTGCTTTATTTTTCTACCGGGATTACTTTTGTGCTTTTCAATGGCTGTATCACTATGACGAGTTCTTGCTTTCTGTCAGGAATGATTTCATTCACCGTCTACGAAATCCTTGAATGCAAAACTACAACTGGCTGCCTCGTCTAGCTTGCCGTCCCTACAACGGTGATTTGACTTTCAGTTGTGGGGTTATAAAATAATGATCGGATTGAGAGCTACGTGTTGACAGTAATTTCCTTCTCTTGAAATCATCATCGGTTATGTACATGTATTCCAAACAGACTTACTGTTCGTGCATCTGCTTCAGAGGCCGTGCCTGACAGACTGGGCGTGGTCTCTGCTTCTAAATAATGATAAAATTGAAACGCGTGGAAATCTGGGATTAGCATTCTATAGTGGGGTTTTGTCCGCAGGCCGGCGACATTCAAGAACGTTTCCTGAAAAGGTCTGAGCATTCCATTCAACGTGATGATACATTGCATTCAACGCGCTGGAGATCACCCGTTTATTTCTGTCGCCCTTTCATCGATTGGGTAAATACCCAAAATGGTGTCCATTCGATGGCGTCTCTTTGGCAAGATTTGTGGCACATGGCTGAAATTACCCTTTCCTAGCTCCTTACATGAGATTCATATTTCACCATTTACAAATGAAATGCAATTAAATGGCAGCACTCAAGGATTTCATTGCGCTTTCTGGTTAGTTTCACATGAATTGCATTTTGCAGCTTTCTCTGCTTCCATCATTGAAAGCAGATACGAAGCAGTTGTTTGGATTCGTGAGAGAAGTCGAGCAGATTAGGTATGCTCGAAATATTGAAAGAATTCTGCGTGGAGAAGAAATTTGTTGAAATGACTGTTTCGTCGACCTCGTTATAATACAGATAAGAGTGAACAGAATTTGTAATTATGGCACGGTGTATGATGTCGCCTCTGCTGAACGCAAAAGGGGACTAACGCCAATAGTCAAGGGATTTTTTTTTTCATCTCGAATTGAGATGACATGATGCTGATATATAAACTGTCTGCGTTGACGGTGTTTTTAGTCTGACGCACTTTAGCATTGCTCTTTCCAACCTACATTCCATGCATCTGGTGGCCCAAACTTTATTTTTTTTATCGAGCGCACTGTTTGTTCTCTGTCTCGTGCCAACGCCAGTTCTCGATGCAGGCGTGGTGACACTAAAGGCCTACTGTAAAACGTGATAAAAAATGTGACGATAGTGTAAGAAAACGTGTTATGAGGGGGGAAATCACATTTATGTGGATAAACGAGAGAAGTGGTGATGATATATTAGTAGATTATGTAACAAACGAAGGTAACAGGGGTGAAATAAAATATAGAATATTTGAATGACTTTGATGATAAAAATTATTTCTATCACAGTAAATCTAAATGCCATAAACTTACCTTCAGTGGTTACGTTACCCTCCATACTCCACACACAATCCAGATATATTGCAATAACCAGCAGAAAAACCCTAGTCATTTTCTCCCGAGAATGTACTTTTCGATGCGCCATCGTTCATGTGTACTTGACAATTTCTGGTATTGCGCTTGTAGTACCAGTAAATTAAACCGTGCCCTTGCTTTTCCCCTTGAGGTAAACTCATCCTGGTCATCCAGTGCACTCTGAAAACCTTTCTGAAGAGAGAACCCTATCGTCTGATCTCATTAACCTGATCATTATCTCTTGTCCGTGAGCACACCCAGCCAGACACACGTACGATCCTTTCCCCAAACCAGCAGTCTGTCATACTCAAGGCACACGGGCTGTAAATGAGTCCAAAGAGGCAACGCATTTTGAAGCTGCTTTACATACCGCCAGGTATACTCCATCGCCAAGCGCGCTTGCATAAAATTATGCACGCGAGTGCTAGCCTATATTATGCCATATATTTTGCTCGTAGAGTGTTTATTTTCCGGGAATGTATTGACGCAATCTAACATGTGGAGGATAAACTTTACCTAAAAGGTCTCATGTTGTAAATTATTTCAAGTCGCAGAATCTTTGGATTCAAGAACGTGATAGGGTTTTCGATAAGTTTTTTGCATGTGTGAATGCTGCATATTGAATATTCCATGGGTGCGTTTTCGGCTATACCGTCTTGTTGACTTGAGCAACCGAGCATCTGATTCTGCCTTTCCTCCAATTTTCATCTGTTTCATAGCCGCAATCCCCCGTTCCTCAGAATGTACTCTGTAGAGGTTTGGTACCTCTCTGTCTCTATGATTTGGTTTCGTTTTTTTTTCTACAACAATATTATTTAATTTATTTGCAATTTGCTTTTCCTATTCCTTCCTACCCCACTCAGCTTGCAACGTAAGACAACTCGTACATTATTGGAATATAATCAAATCTGGAGAAGGACGTGATCTCTGGCATTTTTATCAAAATGGATCATCATCTACAAACTTATCAAGAGGTCCTTCAGAATAAATTGAATTGTCTTTATTATGCTGGGTCTAGAGAAAAACACAAGTCCTTATCCCAGCGTGACAATTGCCATATTTCTTATTCATCCTGGGTTTTTTTTCAACATATCAGTCGACATGAGTATAAAAAAGTCTTGGAGCATCACTCAAGATGCACCTGTCTGACCGGTGTGCATTCAAGCACAGATCCTGAAGACCAGCTTGATTTCCTGCCTCACCAAATACCACCTGCATGCATCTATGATTCGATATCGTTTGTATATGGAATGCGTAATAGGACGACGACGTGGGAAAAAGAATACAGAAGAAGTGGAATAAGGAATATGCTAACTTCAAAAGTCATCTTGTCGGTAAATTTATTGCATTTTGTCACAATTGCCTGCATAACTCATTTATTAAAAGAAAACGCGGAACACAAATGGTAGCCACTGATAAATTTCTTTGTTTTTATTTCTTTAAAAAACACCAACATTTGGTATGAGAGACTGATAAAGAAGCGGACAGATTGAAATGATACGGATGTCACTTCTGATGCATTTATGTTTTAGTTTGAGTCTGTTGGTTTGGTTTTCGTCCGACTCTGAGACAATTACCCAGTAATGGCGACTGTCAAGGACGTACTCGGTTTTTTTTTCGTAAGAAGCAGACCGTTTTTTTGAATAGTGGAACCGTGTTATAACAAGGTCTTTGGGACTTTACAAATTATCTTGTTATAATAGTTACCTTGTATTATCAGTTATGGGAAACAAAGAAAAACAAAGATTTGGGACCTAAAATTGTCCTTATTATACGCATGACCTTGTATGTCTATGAAGCAGACGACACACAGTTTGCAACAACGCCCTCAATACGTCTGTGTCAAGTTGCTACGCAACAAAGGAGGTACTAGGTGAAAAATATCCTTACGCATTTAAACAGCCTTAAAGGAGACAAATACATTTGATTAATTTTCAATGTTCTTCATTCATGTTCATCGCAATTTAAAATAGTCACTGTAAATTAATTCAACCAATATATCTATTATTATTTTTCTTGTTTACATCAGTACGCCATTTTTGAAGCTAGCTGTTTTACGTGCATGCGCTATGCATAGCGTGCAGCATGCAGTTAGTCAACGTTTACTGCCCGTGAAGTGTTATGGTTTGGGCCGACTCGGCTTTTGCGATTAATTTGTGATTCCCACGGGCTGGAAATCCTCTGTGGTATCTTTTCAGGTACGTTTTTGAAGCTGTGTGGACGAAGTTCGCATGTAGCTATCTCTGAATGTGAATCCAGGTTGGTTATCACAGTTGTCATTATTTTTGTCCTACAAAATTACTTCGCGCTCGCGAGAGTAAACCGTAACGTAAGGCCCACGTGTGTTGTTGGGTAGGCCGTGGAGCTGTCCTTTTTTTGTACCTCCATGCGTAGGCTGTGGGTAGACCAAACGAGGTTGCTCTTTGCATGCCTGTCTTCAGTACATTGCAACTATAATTAGTATAATCTAACGTCAGGGAGTCCACCTGGGCTGATGGGCAGGCCTATCCTATAGTACCAGAAGTGGCTGCACTTGTTTGGCCTCTCCGTGGTCTGTGAAAACATGGAGGTAGAATCATTCTATCTCCATGGTGAGAGGTGGGAAAAAGAGCCCCATTAACGTTATTTGTTTTAGGTTAGACCTGCGTTTTGGGGTAGGGAGGTGTTGCCCAATTGATATTAAAATTAATTATTAAATTAATTGACAAACGTACCCAGCATTGTCCACCAGGATTACTCCCTCCAGAATTTGAAGTAGGGTAAAGGTAGGGGTGTTTGACCACATAAGAAAAGCAAGAAGTTCAACCAGCTGGTGTAGTTTTTGAATGCAGTTGGGCGAATTTTCCTCCTGGTCAAAAATCCCCACACTCACCCTGTGCCCCACATTCAAGATAGCAGAAAACTTGAAGTCTTAAGTTTCAATTTTTGTATCATGCAAAATCTTGTTTTGTTTGTTAAGATTGATAGGAGACAGAATGGACAAGCATTCAAAGGAACAGAAGGCACTTTCACCGCGTTATGATGGTATACCACTCCGTTATGAAGAGAGCAAGCCTGTACAAACACAGATATACACACATCAAAATATCCTAGGTAAGTAAAATAGAAGCAACTGTACATACATGTACATACATGTAGCTTTTCTTCTGTTACATGTTCAAGTGCTGTGCCATAATTTATAACTTTAAGGTTATTCAGTTTCTTCGTTAGGCTTGTAGACTATTTTCTTTATATTTTATTTTGTACATGTACCAACTTTTCCGTGCTTTGCCCCTGATAAGGTAACAGTAAAGAATACTGCCCTTTAAAACAGATACCCAGTATATAAGTTTTGTTTATTTATGGATAAACACTGAGAAGCAAGACCCACTCAAACCTTAAGATGGTATATATGTTAAGCCTGCTTCCTTCAAAAACTCGACCTGATCAAAGACTGACTTAATGCAAGAAATGCAGCATGGCATCTCTTCTAGTCCTTCCACACACCCCCTCCCCTAACCAACAACCAATTGACTGATGCTCTGACTGTCTTATTTCAGATATTGGTCAGAACATTCACGTTCAATGGGAAGTGCAGGTTGAGAATGAGAAGGAACGAGCAGTCAGTGCCGCCCAGCACAAGGTGTGGCAAGAGGCTGAACACATGAAGAATGTAGCCCTGGAAAAAAGTCGAGAACTTGCTAAGGAAGAGATGGAGAAAGCGGTCACTGATCTGAAACGCAGCCATGAGAAATCACTCAAGGTCAGTATGAAAGGCTCTAATAATTGACTAAATATCTTGGAGGCCATGTGTGTGTGTCTTGGGTTTTGTCTTCAATTTCACAATTTTAGTATATTCAAACATCAGCTGGTAGATTTAGGAGGTGCATTCCAATCCAGTTCTTAAGTGACTCCTTCACAAAGGTGGAAGTTGCGTATTAACTTCCAGTTCCATGTAAACAGCGATCAATGCGTGTAACCCTATGTGCAGTGCACGTGTGCAGTGGGCATGGTTTAAACTGAAGTGACGTCACACTTACGAACCGGATAACAAATACTCATAATTAAAATGTTTACTTTTGTCTGTTCCTATGTTGACTCACTCAGACTCAGTGATATTTCTTATAAAACAGTTTTGGCCCTTATCAGATGAGGCAGGAACTGAACCATGTAAATTATTTACAGTTTAGTTTAATGTTTTCTTTGAAAATGCTTGCACGTGCAGGAAGAAGCCTTACGAGTTGAAGGTATCATGTCAAAACAAGCAACAGAGCAAGTAAGGCAGGAAAAGGAAACAGGAGAGAAGATTCTGAGAGAAACCGTGGAGAAAGTTCGGGCTCAAGGACTTAAAGAGAAAGAAGAAGCAGTGTCACAAGCCAGGAAAGAAGAGGTGGAGATTGCACGGAAAGAAGCAGAGAGAGTGGCAAGGTTGGTATCAAGAGACATTATTGGCTCTGGATTAACTTTGAGTCAGGTGTTGGCATGTTCAGTGGTGAAGCCCCCACTACAATGTTTCTTTCCAAAAGCAGTTTTTCATAGGTGGCCTAAAACTGTCCAGAACTCACTAAGCTATGAATAGTCTTAAAGATCATGAAAAGTTAAATTTTAGATATTTGCTTACAATTGAAATCGAACTAAGAAGTCCTTGATATTGGCTGTAAATTCTTTCACAGCGATTTGTAGAAAGACCTTATTTTTTGCTGTGCTACTTTTTAGAGTGACAGCTGACCGAGAAGCAAAGACAGCCAAAGTAAATGCCCAGGAAAAAGCTGAAGCTCTGGCAACCTTGGAGGAGAAAATGAAACGGGAACGTATGAATGCTGTCCAGACAGCACAGATGGAAGAACGCCATGTTGCAGCTGTGGAGCTTGGCCGAGTCAAGTCTGCACATCAGTTAGAAATAGAGAAACTTCAAGAAACCATCCAGAAACTGGAGTTGAGGAACGAAGAGACATTAACAGTGGTAGAGCAAGAATGCCAGGAGAAGAAACAATGGGAAGCTAAGTACCATAATTTGAAAGATTCCTTCCAATTATTCATCAATAAAACAAAAGGATTTGATCCTGGTCAGGCGGACTTCCTTCTGAAATGAAATATGAATATTTGCTTGCCAGAATGTGACAAAGAAGGAATGTGTAGATGTGCTTGGACCTTGCAAATCTAAGCATAGCACTGTAGTGAATGTTTCTGATGCGGTTTTCTACAATTCTCTCGCTAGAATTACACGTAGTATATTTCAGTATTTATACTTCTGTGTGTGAGCCTAATTACTTTTCCAATAAAGTGTTTTGACTGGAAGACAATTACTCCTGCGTTTGTTTTTGCTTGAAAGCTACCCACTGGAAGAGCTATGCTGGAGAAAACTGTCAAGGTTTAAGTCAGCAGTGCCTTATCTTTCTGGAGAAACATTTTTTATTTGAAATCTATCATTGTTTCACTATAAACCCATGTGACAGACTTCAAACCTGTTGTCTTAGGTACTTTGCACTAAACTAATGCTCTGCTGCTGGCCATGAAGTACTCAACAGGGTGTTGTTTTTTTCGCAGTGTTTAAACCTTTACATGCAGGGTTTAATAAGGAAAACTGTCAAGGTTGTTGTTAAGTTCCTTCTGTGTCAGTAGATTTTACACATGGGAAATTTCAAAGGAATTTTGTGTGCCTCAAACGAAAGAGAACTTTCATTCGTGTGAATGACAATCTTCAAATTTTGGTTTCAGTGGGTTTTATGCTTAATTAATCAAAAATGCAAAATCGCACATGAAAATGTTACTCATGCATTCCAAGTTACCTTATTCAGGTTCCATATTACATTCCAGAACGAGTTCTCCAGCAAATGTTGCTGGTTAGAATGGTTGTACTTCCAACAAATAAATGTATTATAATTTGGCCTTTTGAGGATAAATGTGTACAAACATTATGCAATTATGGACAGTTGGTACTTGAAAATGAGGTGTGTACTTTTATAACTCAATTTTTTAACACCTAGTAGTCACCAGACCCTTTTGTGTACATTTAATACATGTACATATATACCAAAGTTTTGAACGCTCACATATTGGCCTTGCGTTGCCTTTTTTCACAGAGACAAACAAGAACCTATGTGATATTCACAGTTTTAGAACACAACAATCTCTAAAACTGCTGCCTAATCTGAATTGGATTCAAATGGTTTTACTTGACAGTATTATATTGTTTGCCTGAAGAGAGAAAGGTACAATTTAAAGGAGAGATTTCAGGTGTTCTGTATTTTGACCATTTAGCATTTTATTTATGATTGTCATAATTTTCAAAAATCAAACCAACATATGCATAGTAAATCTCACGTTACATAGTACCTACAGTAAGTCCTGTCACAAATTTGTACATTTGCATATAAAACATTAATGGAGGATTTGGTTTTTAAGTTTGTACACTTGGTCAAAATAACATTTTAGCACCAAAACCTTTTGAGCCTCTACATTCTGACTGTTTGTGCTCGTTGTTTTATTGTATATTAATTTTTGGCCTATTTTAATTTTTTTATTTAAATTTTATTTGAAGGCGTGGCTAGTGACAGTTGCCAACACCTTGAATTGTCACTTTTCTATATAAAATTATGATGGTAACAGTGGCAATAAGCAGGTAGTGCCATTCGTTGGGTAACCTCTTAAAAATTGCCAAGAAACTGATTAATTTTTATTTTGTTTTTTTTATAAAACTGGTTTGCCTTGAGATAGTTGAAGCATTTGTCTAGAGAGTTTCTCAGGATGAGCTGATGTCACTCAAGTGCCAACCCAAAACAAAAAGCTGTCACATAATGTTAGTTTTATCCTTTTTATAGCTCCATACTTTCATTGACTAAAAAAATTTTTTTTTATTTGTCTCCACATTGTGTCATTCAAATGTAGAATACTGGACAAATAATTGGGAAAATTGTTTACCAAACTAATATTTCGTACTGAACACGTACATGTCGTACGTCTGTTAAGATCCACAGCGCACTCGGTTATTGTCTTTTTTCTCATAACATCAACTCCGTTTTCATGTAACAGCGCCCTCTGTAATACTTGCTGAATTCCGTGTGTCATATGCACGCTGTACGTGTACATGTGGTGGACGGTCACAATCGAGGTCTTGAATTCATATTGAAAATAGATCAACCTGATGATGATAAAGGAATGATACAAGGCAGGCAGAGAGAAGGTTGGATGACGAAGAAACGTAGGTAACTAAAACAAGGGGGATAAGTGTGGTTTATGGATGAACCATTGCGTGTGTTCACCATGTCCGTATGGCTACAGGCCTACCCATCTATGATCTAGCTCTGGGCCGTGGTGGACCGGATGGGGCCGTCGCACGCTAGCTCCGCCATGTCTGCCGCGCCGCCTGGCTACTTCGAGTCACTACTCCGTTACTCTATGTGACTTCGTGCCAATGCAGTTTACATGGTGTCGTAACGCTATGGGGTTTTGGAATCGAACTTGATAGGTGAATGATTCACAGGTGGAACAAAGCCTAGGCCTAAATCGAATTTTCCCCTTCAAACCTGAGTAATAAATCTAGGCCTATAGCTCTTAAAAAGTGGTTGAACAGCATGTTTCAGAGCATGAGACAGAGTATTTTTTGAAAAAAAAGGAGATTTTTGCTCACCAATACATAATATCTTGCTTCCACCAGCTGACGGTTGCTCCATTCAAGCCGTTTGTGGTTATCATCAGATTGTGCATCCATCGAGCCCACCAATGAGCCCGCTTGCTCCGCATATCATAGGGCATTTTCGAAATGAGTAGGTTCGGCTTAGACTTTGGCTTCACTGGTTCCAGCCATTTTGAAGCACCGTTGGAACATGTTGGAAACCACATGTTCAAGCTGTGACTGGAACCAGCAAAACTGAAGTCTGAGCTGAATCCACTCATTTTGGAAATGCCCTGTGATATGCGGAGCAAGCGCGGTCATTGGAGGGCTCAACGCATGTGCAATCTGATAAATATAAAAGGCATGAACAGAGCGACCGTCAGCGGGTAAAAGCGAGAGATTGGTGAGCAAAAATCTCATTTAAAAAAAAACACTCCATCTCATGCTCTGAAACCTTGTTCACTCCCTTTTTAAGAGCTGTGGATTACTCAGTTTTCTGTCGGGAAATTGTAATTGAATAGCTTTGTTCTACCTGTGAATCATTCACCTATCAAGTTCGATTCCAAAAATCCATAGCATTACAACACCATGTAAACTTTTGGTTCAAAGTCACACAGAGTATGACTGAGTAGTGACTTTGAGCTCTCGAAGTACCGCCTGGCCCACCACTGCGTCCATTTCGCGACGAATCCCATATTTCCAGGGCCAGAAGGGGTTGGATAAACAGATGGAGTACAGTAAATTTGCACAAGATTCAAGTGTCAAGATTGCACTAAGCATGCCCATTCTTAATAACTTGGAAGTTCATTACATTCAAGAACATTTTTCTGTTATTTCAGACATCATCTTCAGAGTCAGCAGCAGTGTCAAGCAGAACCAATGGATAGGCCCACAAAATGTGAAACTATGTGTGATCAGCAAAAAGAGCAGATGGCTTCCACCGATCAAAAGCTGGTAATTACTAAATTGGGACCTAAGCATGCTAAAGTGCAAACTGTAGAAACTATTGTTTTAGCATTATGTTCTTTGTCCTGGTTGACTAAAATACGGTCACCAGGGGTGTAATTTAGACTAGTGCATGAAATCACCCAATCAAGCGCGATACAATACTCAAAATTTCAAATTGGTTACAAATAATGCTTTCACATGATGAGAACAGTGGACAGTAACTCAAAAACTGAATTTAGGGAATGACAACATACCTTTATTTGTTGAATTGCTTGTGGGTTAATTGTTGAATTAAACACAGTCAGTTACAAACTACCTGCAAAGTTTCTGTTCTTATTGTACGACTTAGCTAGAGATATGTTCTAAAACAAGAAATTCGGTCACTTACATGTATACAGTGTCCATTATCCCTCTGGCCTGTGAGTGACCAGAAAAGGGTCCTATGTCTTTATCCTCAGGAAATACATGTAGCGCCCTCTTTTGGTCTTTCTCAGTCCTCAGGGCACATACATGTGCACAAGTAATCTCTTTACCAGTGCATATGTGCATACTTTGTGTGTAAGGGATAGGCCAGTTTGCTAGTCGGGTCATAAACAAAATACCTTTATTGTTTTGAACAGTAGCTGCCATACGTCTTCAATTAAAGTCACAGCATCACTTAAGAAATGGCAATGAATTCACATATTTCCTTTGCTGTTTTCATGTTATACATTTACTTTGGTGTTTTTGTAGTGTAAAAATTATCATCGCATTAATACATTTTGGTTTAATCTTTTGGATCCTTGTATTTGTTTAGATTTCTCCACCTCCCAGTACAAGGCAGTTGAGAAGGTTAGCTGTCCGTCCACAATCGCAACCTCAACCAATGATCAGCAAGACATCAGAGAGGAAACCACCAAAAGTCATTCTTCCAAAAGCAGTAGCTCCAAGCAGTATTAAGAATGCTGCAGATACCCTGGAGATAATCAGATCTAACATCAGACAAGTTAATGACCTACAGGTAGTGTACTTAGCCTCCCCCCAGACTTTTATCTCTTTACTCAATTGCAGTGGTACCACCCATTACCAAAATGAAATTGATTTTCCATTTGGAACTACTTGTTAGTGGAATAAAGTGCTCCCAAAATCGGAAATGCGAAGTGGAAGAGTTGTTGCACAACCTGTTTGTTACCTGGTGTTTTTTATTTGATGGGGCAATAGTTCAGTAACCATATATTCTGTTTCATTTCCAGACTGAAATTCGGATGAATTCAAAATGTTTTGATGCCAACACCATCCAAAGCCACACCCGCCTTGAGACACTGGAATATCGTATTCCTAAAGTACGTTGTCCTGTAAGTGAGGATATCGTTTACAACAACAATGCTGTCAGCCCAACAATGTGCAATGTCTTCAAGCAGAAGTATATGCCTGGATTAAGCTCTCTGCTTGGCTGGAAATGCCAACTTGAAGAACATCGGAAGCGAGCCCAGAATGATCTGAGCTACGTCGCGACGGACCAGGTTTCTTTTAGTCTGACGGATGTTGAACACATGTTGGCATTGCACAAGGCAGCTGCAACTCGAAGGAATGTAGAACGAGAACTTGAATGGTTTGCTCACACTCACCTGCATCCCAGGACAATTCACATCCATCCTAGCGTCCAAGCTATCAGGAAATTCCAGAACTTGTTACTCTGCACTGGGTGGGATGCAGTCTTGGAAGATTATGACATGGCTGTGGGACACCTTGCAAAGGTTTGCTGTGATCGCTGGCTGTCAGCATGCCACATTAATTGGTTCATCAAACAACTCAATGAAATGCAGTCTGAAACTTTGTGTATCTACAATAACGATGCCGGTAACATAGAGAATCTGATCTCTGGCCAGTCACTAGTCCCAGATGGAAACCCTAAACCAACATCTTTACTGTTCATCTGCTGTGTCACCAAGGTCGACAGTGGTCAAGTCTTCATCTGCTCTGAGAATCAGCCAGGTTTCCACTATTCACTTTGCCACCTGGACACTGTCACTGAAAGAATTACCTACGCAGATTCATTAGGCTGGAAGGTACCTGACATTCTTCCAAAGTACCTGGCTGCTTATCACGCAGCTGTTTATGGTCCTAGTGATATGCGTGATTATGAATGGCATTTCTGTCATGAACCCACACCAACAGGGGGTCATCACAGCTGTACTGCTCACTGTGCTGTCCAGTATCCTCACCAGACCTGTCTAAGCATCTCCGGACCTGTCGTGATTGTCATCACAGCCATAGCATGCTTACAACATGACACTTTCCTCCATCTGACATCAGCTAATCAGGAAGCCAATCCACAATTGATATACTTGCAGACACCAACAAAGTATGCATGCTACCTCCGTAAGGTGTTGGCAGCATGGTTGGCTGAGCAAGCTATCCAACTGGAATACATCGTACCCACAGAAGTGACCAATCCCTTGCAGGTAGTAAACAGCTCTGTTCAGTGTCTGGTTTACTTTCTATTCATATAGTCTGTACTCTGTACGTCTCCACTTAAGTTCATGAAACACCTGTCATCAGAATGCTTCATTTTTCTCCTTTAACATTAAATTGTCACTTTAGCTCCTTGGCATTTCAATACATGCTTGAAACTTTGCATCACTTACTACTTATGATATATACACCTTGTCGTGTGAGTAGATGGGTCATTCCGTTAGTTTGGGGGCACAATTTGCGATGGTGTCAATTGTTAAATGGGTTCCGTAAAACTGAAAAGCTGTTTCCCTGCTTGTGGATTTCAAAGTGGCATTGTTATACATCTGGCAAGGCTGAATTCAGAGGTGTGTGTTATTTTTATAGAGAAAAATGACCTACCGACAGGTCATTACAGACGGTAAAAGTTACCCATGTAACAAGGACACCGTCACAAATTGTGCCCCATTCTTATGGTAATGGATGACCCCGATGCATGTACATTTCAAGACAGTCACTTGTTATGTTTCTGCCGATGTTGAAGCTCAAATTCATTTTTTTTTGTAAGTCATATTTACAGTAAACAAACACCTCGTGTATGTATGTAGTGCAGCAATATAATTTATGGCAAGTAGAGTTTTGAAAGAATTCTAAAGATAAAAACTCTCGGATTAATGCATTTTATCAAAATGTACCACATTTGCTTTTTCTCTGGCAATGTTACTGATAGTTTCATAATTATTCATTATTAACAGATGACAAATCTCACATTGGCCAGTGAAAATGAGAATTTGGTGTCTGATCCAGAGGATGATACCCCAGAGATACCAGCAATGACTCCAGACAAGAAAGCATCATCTGAGCCAGTCAAGCTTCAAGTCCAGACAGATGAAGGGAAGAAGATATTCAAATGCCCCTGCTGCCAGAAGACATCCAAGAAAGGTCAGAGGAATAGGAACTACCAAAGAGCTTTAAGACTGAACCAGAGAATATGTCCAGGTTTTCATTGTGGAATCTCTGCATTCTGTTCAGAAGAAGCACGAATGAAATATTCTTCACACCAGGGGCTAGCATGTAGCTCTGCATTTCATTCAGGTGTTTTTATCTGCAGTGCATATGTGCATATATGTTTTCAACTGAATGATGTATGTTAAGTCTAGAAGAACATCCCTTTGTCCTTGAAGGTTTCAACATCAAACGCCACATCTTGAGAGCCCATCCAGAGCAAGATTTGAAGGACCTGGAGGAAGGTAATTGTTTATGTCTTCACTGTGGTCGACGATTCCGCAGGATATGTGACCTACGCCAACATCTTCAAAACTGCCATGCCACCATCTTCACTGTGGAACAGGTGTCGTTTGATAGTATGCAGGGTGAGTAGGACTGTTGTTGGACCAGGGATTTTTCAGGGTGCATGTATGTTTGGGCCGTTGGACAGACCTTGTATTGTTCTGTCATTCGAGCACAATAGTACTTTGTGAAATGAATGAAGATTAGAAAGAAAAGGAATGATTACATGCTTCTCAGTAGAAGATTTCAGAATCAACCATAGCTTCTTTTGATTGATCTTTACTGTTGTTAGATTTCTGTTAACTTGAATTGGCTAGGTTAGTTTCAATGCAGTTGAGGATTGATATCAATACCATTAGCCTTTCCTTTTCACCATTTAACTGTCGGTACCTGTAGATGAAGGCAGTGGGTGACGTGATTTCTCTTTTTGACTGACAGAGTTTGAATTGTGGAAGGAGAGTCTTGAAGAAGCTGAGTGTTGCTCCTTTGCTCATTACTCTGGCTTCCGCAATAAGGGAGAATGTCGTTTCAGATATCTGCAGTGTAATCGGTCAGGGATCTACAAGCAGCGAGGTGTTGGGAAACGACAGACAAAGCATTCAGGTAAATATGTCAGCTAAGAATTGATGATGAGTTGTTGTGATGTGCCAATTATAGAAGCTAATATAGAAGTCACTTGAATTTGTCTGTCATTTAGTTGTCAATTGCTTTTTTAAAGCAGAGAATCAAGTTATGAATTAGCTGTTTTAAATAGCATGGTAACAAGCACAAAAGATATAAGGATTGCGCATTTTGCTACTTTTACCTTTTGTTACACAACTAAATGCCAGGAGGCAAAAAAAGGAGGAAAACCAGATGTTTCTGTTGCCTCCCGCACTATTTTTATCCATCGTTTCAGACTTGAAGTATCTTGATGTTGGAGAGGGTGAATTCTTATCAAATGAAGTATCTTGATTTGGAGAAGGTGAATTTTTAAGAAATGAACTTTTTTCCAACAGGAACTTGTAAGATAGACAACAACTGCACAGCTTCCATGAAAGTGACTTGCCAGATGAATGGCAGAGTGGACGTTGAATGTCACCGGACACACTATGGCCACCAGAAAGACCGTGAACTCATGTGGCTTCCAAGGAAAAAACGCGAAGAGATTGCTGCCAAACTTGGCCAAGGAATCTCCCGAGATCGCATCATGAGCGACATGGTTGATAGTGAAGGAGAGGTGATGAAGCAGCGAGAGTTGGCAAGGGTCAGTGATATCTACGACGTCAAGAAGTCTCTAGGGGTTGAGACGGTTCAGAAACACCTGAATGAGAAAGAAAGTGTCTTAGCCTGGATCTTACAATGGGAAGCCACAGAAGAAAACCCAGTCCTGTTCTATAAGCTCCCTGGTCTCAACCCAGATCCTAATCTCGACCTTCAAGCAGAGGACTACATCATCATTCTCCAGAGCCCCTTTCAGAAACACATGGCACAGAAGCTTGCCAGCCGAGGAGTGTGGTGTGACTCTACTCAAGGGACAAACATCTATGACTTCCACTTAATCACGTTGCTAGCTCTCAATGAATTTGGTGAAGGCTTTCCCATGGCCTGGTGCATCTCAAACCGTGAAGATGAGAGCACAGTTCGTATCTTTTTTACCAAGGTGAAGGAAAACTGTGGCGACCTAAACCCCTGTTGGTTTATGGCAGATACAGCATTCATGTATTCCAATCTGTGGTCCTCTGTATTTTGGTCATCTCCAAGGAGGTTAATTTGTCCATGGCATGTAGATCAGGCCTGGAAGGAGGAACTCAAGAATGAGATCAGCGACCTAGCCGTCCAGGCTCAGGTGTACAAGATGCTTCGAGTGGTTTTAGAGCAGCAAGATGAGACATCATTTGAAGATTCTCTTCAGAGGCTCCTTGGTCGTCTCTCTGTCTCTGACAAGACCATGGCCTTCAGGAAGTACTTCATCAAGGAATGGATTCCCAAGATGCATCAGTGGGCTTACTGTTACCGTACAAGTCACTGCCTCAATCCTGGTGTCTTCAGTGAAGCCTTCCACATCATTTTCCAGTGCATGTACCTCCAAGGTCATGTCAACAAGCGTGTTGATAGTTGCTTAGTCCACCTTCTGAAGTTCATCCGGGACAAAACGTTTAACTGGATGGTCAAGTTTCCGCGGGTAAAAGTGACCATGCGAATGAAGCTCATACATGACCGTCATCTTCGTAGCATGCTGTTGAGCTTCAATCAAGTGAAGCAACTAGGTGAACGTCAATGCTGGCAGGTCCAGACTGAAGATAAGAATAACTCCTACATCGTTGAGCGTCTCTCCATCACGTGTCCTGTCAAGGAATGTCGACTACGATGTGAGGAATGCAATGTTTGTGTCCATCTCTTCCTCTGCAACTGTGCAGACTGTCTCATCAATTCCACCATCTGTAAGCACATCCACTTGATCCAGAGACTGGTCCGACTTCAGATTCTCATCCACAATGAGGAGGCAGAAGTCGCGGGAGGAGAGACAGAAGAACTGAAACATCGTCTCTGTTCCACTCTTCGTCAGATGACATCGATGGTGGAAGCAACCAGTGATGCCAACCTAGAGGTGCTGCGGGATCTAGACAAGACATTGTTATCATCTTACCAACGTCTGAACCATAGCATCCACCAAGGTATCAGCTCCGGTCAAGACAAAAGGCCAGCCTCTGGAGAATCTCAGGGCTCACAAACCAAGAAGGCCAAACTCCAAATATGACTGGCAACTTAGTCAGTTTACAAATAACCTTAGTGTATTGGCTATGCTGCTAAAGTGTCCAAGACATGTACTTTTAATTGCAATTGTTTGTATGCATCAGTTTAAATGTAGTGGAGATACCGTCATGGTATCCATGAATGCTTGGCAGTGGGACCTCCATGATGCTTTTGCAGTGTGCATAACGCTTTCTGTGAACCATGCACAGAGATTACCAATTCATTTTGAGGCTGGAATTTTGTTTTAAGCTGATGGAACAAAAAGAAAAAAGACTCAGTGCTCGAGAGATTCTCCTATGTCTTAGACTTTAAAAGCTCTGTTCTGCCTAAGCAATGACTGTTCTGTCTTTAAGCAATTTATGCCTGAAACGTTTTTGTATCAATCAGAAGTGTAGCCACAGGGGGCCAGGGGGCACGTGCCCCCCACAAATTCCTGGTGCCCCCCCCCACTAAAAAAATGGATGAATTGACATTGACCAAGGCTAACTAAAGCTTGCCCCCCAAAAAAACAAACTACTGAAAGCTGGTGCCCCCTTGTGCCCCCCTCTGGTAAAACCCTACCTATGCTAATGGTATCAGTGCACTTCTGAGGCAGTAGCAGCTTTTTCCAGTGTCATCCGTTGTCGACAAAAATACTCAATCTGGCTTTAAAAGATTATCACTCAGTAATAAACATTGCCTATTTTGTCAGAGAAAAATCACGTATATTTTTTGAGGCAGAAACAATCTTTATTCGTTGAAGATTAAGGATTGTTGTTGCTCTGGCTGGCAAATGGTCCTCAATTAACTTCATTGTCTTCTGATTGACTTCATATTTCACTTTCAACGTCCTAAGAGGGAAGGTTGTTGAAACATGTATATATATGTGCTATACATTCATAAAGATCTTGTGCTTTCGCGGTCTTTCTCCTTATAAATAAAGAACGGAAGAGAACAAAAACTTTTTGCAAATTTTTACGTTATGTGTGTATTTGTTTACGTAACTTAATCTGCAAGATTTTTATTTGATCTATAAAGTAAAATTTGAAAGAATAACATTTTATCTAAAAAGTTTTGGGCATATAAAACTGCGGCGAGTGAAACGACTTTAAAGGCCGTTTTCCAATACCCAACTTCGTCTCCGTTTAGGCTTCGTTCCCAAAACCAATCCCCGACTGTGGGCTTGAAGCGTTTAAATTACATTGGATTACTATAATTTTTGGCTTTCTTGCATCTTATTTGATGTTCTGTGGCACTATCAGACTGATTACTGCGCTTACAGCTTCAAAATCAGCTAGTAAAAACTAGCTAACTCGGTAACAGTACATGTAGTTGTCGAAGTGATCCCAATTGGCCTAGAAAAAGTGTGAACTCGTACAATGTATGTGATTAGTCGCGAGAGGTCGCTCTCTCAATCACGTGAGTAATCCGTGTAGTGGAAAAAAATTTATCGGGGCGACCTCGGTCACGAGAAAAAGAAACGCTGACGAAATTCTCAACTAGAAACAACACCGTTACTGTGTCAGTTCCTAACTTCGGCTATTCAGGAAACACAAAATAGGAAACTGACTGTGTTAGGATACTCCCAAGCTAAGATATAGATCGCAAAGTGAACTAATGACGGTGAGATTCAATTGAAAATCTCAGGGCTTTCCAGTTGAAGATCACCGTGTTCGCTGAATTAGCCTACGGGGGAAAGGACTCATATTACGGTCGAACAGGGGAGAGGTTCACTCGCCATGGAAAACGGAATAGGAGTGCCGAGAACTCGCATGGAAGCGAACAGGGAACATGTCCTAGCTGTAAAGAGAAATTACATTTCAAATCCTCGGATAAGTAAGTATGATAAGATGTTGAGTGCGATGTGAAACCATAATAAATATGAATATTTCGGTCAAGTAAAGAAATTGCATGGTCATTAATCTATACATGATCCATACTGCTGGACATGCTGGAAGGTAGAAAGTACTTAAATTAGTGCATCTTACTCTTTATAGTACAGGTATCTGTCCTTGTTTTTTGACACATTGAATTCATTATTTAGTTTATAGCTTAGTAATGGTGAGAATTATGTGTAAACAATATTGGCTTTAAAAACCTTGCCTATTTTGACGTACACATTAACCCTCCTTTTTGCTGCAGCGCAGTGGTTACAGACAACAAAAAATTCCTTCCACTTGATTTGCCCCAGTACACAGACATATAGGCAAAATGATAGGGCTCATTTGACTGTGGTTTGACTGATGGGACAACTTTGTCGAGAGTGCATTTTTGCATTGTAGAGTTAATGTTCCATATTGTCATGATTGTCCCTAATTGTTTTTGTATTGTCTTTTTTTCATAGCGTACAAAACTGTGTCTGGAGTCAATGGACCTCTGGTAATTCTTGACAACGTCAAGGTAAAAGAACTGCTGAATTATACCTACACATCACATGCACAATCAAGTTCCGTCTGCATTATATCCAGGCTTATGAACCTTGCTGAGTGTGACAGACGTAGAAGTTCTTCAGGAGCTTAACTAATTTTCAAAATATTGAAATATAAATATTCATTAATATTTGAATGTTGTATTATCAAGCATATACATGTATGTAGGTATTCACATTTACCATGTTTACTATAAATTGGAAGCATCAAGTGTCATTTTTTGTTGTATACTTTTTGACCAGTGATTAGTAAGCAGAAAGCCCAGATTCTACACCATATTTATCACCAAATGATAAAAAACAGCCTTCAAAAGCAGCTTAAAAAGTTAACAGCAGTAGTAGAAAATTTATTCTCATCTTGCAGTTTCCCAAGTTTGCAGAAATTGTCAATTTGACACTTTCTGATGGAACAAAAAGAAGTGGACAGGTTCTGGAGGTCAGCGGGTCAAAGGCCGTAGTTCAGGTATGTCAACAGTGAAACTTCAAAAATTACGATTACATACATGTACTTCCGGTACTGTGAGCTTGTCTCTCAGACAAAACGACAGCCCACCTCATCAATCATTCCACATGTCATGTTACTGTTTTACTTACACTTTTGGTTTTGATACATGTACATGTATGTGTCCAGTTTCTTTACCCTAGCCATCCATTTCTAAAGAAGACTTTGTCCAACCATAATTACAGTGACTCAGGCACATTCAACAAAAGATTGATCATTAACGATTAGTCTTAAAGGTAGTGAGAAATGATATTTCGATTTTTCGGTTAGGTATTTGAAGGGACATCAGGAATTGATGCCAAGCATACGACGTGCGAATTCACCGGAGACATTCTGCGAATCCCTGTATCTGAGGACATGTTAGGTACGTACAGATGTACATTTATGCACTTGTACTATTTGCTGCTAGTTCAGAATGTTAACGCAGCAGCTGAAGCAGGGGCACATTGCTTATTTGTAATTAAATCTGCACAGGTTTTGTGATGTCCTTAGCTCAGGAGAACTTGATCTCAACATGTGGCATAAATGGCTTAGAGATTAGGGCTGAGTCAATTCAAATAATTCACTATTCGAATATTCGACCTCCAATCGATTGGATATCCGAATATTCATTCGTACCGACTGGCAGATTGTTGATGAACAATCCATACATACAAAATCAGTTGCAATAACACACAAAATTGTACATTTCAATCATTGTAATAGCTTCTCACGTCTGGGAGTATCTCCAGCCATGATTTAGCAAGATTTAGAGACTAAAAATACTTCTTGTCCTTTGAAATTTTGTAATAAATAAAGTAATTTTTAATCGTAAGATTTCTGTCACTTTTCATATGAGCCTGCTTGAAACAAGCCTCCACAGTGCAATTTTTCTCATTTAAAACAGAAGAAAATTCTCCTTCATTTTCATGAATTTTGCATTCGCATATATTCGGCACAGCTCTATCAGAGATATTCTCTGTAAGACCATTCTCTCTTTTTCTTGTATGGAGAATGGGTCTTCTCTTTTAACATTGTTTTGTTTCTGTTGTCAAAACCAGGTCGTATCTTCAACGGTTCCGGTAAAGCTATCGACAAAGGGCCCCCAGTATTGGCAGAAGATTACCTGGATATTCAAGGTAGATCTGAAACGATACATCAAGAAATTTCAATGAATCATTTTACCTGACACCAACAGTAAGTTGGTTATTTTCTTGCAAAAGTTACCTGGTTAAACAAGATGTTACTTAATTGAAGTCATCAGACGGTGATATTTTTGCAGAAATCATTGTTTCACTGCAGAATAGGTTTAATCTTAAAGTTTGTACTTTATAAGAGCTGCATGCGATTGAAATGTTGCCTTCTTTGTCCATATTTAGGTCAACCGATCAATCCTAATTCTCGCATCTACCCTGAGGAAATGATCCAGACTGGTATATCAGCCATCGATGTTATGAATTCCATCGCCCGTGGTCAGAAAATTCCAATCTTCTCAGCTGCTGGGTTGCCACATAATGAGGTATGTGTACCGCCACTGGTAGATTGAACCTTTAAACTGAAACCAAAGTTAGGACCACATGCAACAAAATCATCAACAAAAATGTGATAGTATTCACTGTAATCAAGATAAATCTGTGAATCAAATCACAGTTTGTACAAGGATGCTTTGCAAAAATTCTCCATAAAAACAAACTCTGATTAATAGTGAAATCTTAAGCAGTCATATCATCCCAAATAGATTTTGTTTAGCATGATAGCTTCCTTGGCTGGTTGTTTTGCTGACATTTTTGCATGAATTGGTTTTGTCTCAAGATTGCAGCTCAGATTGTACGACAGGCTGGTCTTGTCAAGCAACCACAGAATGACGTCATGGACTCGCATGAAGACAACTTTGCCATTGTCTTCGCTGCTATGGGTGTAAGTTGAAACATTAACGTTGAAAAACTTAAGAAGTTAAAATACAACGTCTCGCTTTTGAAAAGTTTCTATTTAGTCCTTGCATCGTTTTTTTTTTCTTACAGGTTAACATGGAAACAGCTCGTTTCTTCAAGCAAGACTTTGAGGAGAATGGCTCTATGGACAATGTCTGTCTTTTCCTCAATCTAGCCAACGATCCAACGTAAGCAGATTGGTGTTGGGTGTTTTTGCTAAGTTTTGCAAGTTCATTGGTCATCTGAGGGCTTTAGATATTTTGGAGTGTCCTAACAATGCTTATGAATAAACAAACGTGACTACAGTTTCTAGAGTGAGGAAATAGTGTTTGCAAACTTTCTTCAATAACATCCTACTTTTCCTAATCACTTGTTAGTATTGAACGTATCATCACACCGCGTCTGGCATTAACAGCTGCTGAGTTCTTAGCCTACCAATGTGAGAAACACGTCTTAGTTATTCTGACAGACATGAGCTCCTATGCTGAAGCTTTGCGTGAGGTGGGTCCTTTTTAATGAGTCCTCAACTTAAGCATCCATAGTATAGGCAGGTAAAAAGCCTTGTTGGGACCTTGTAAGGGCTGGGTTATGAGTTTGATTTTCTGAGTTAGTGATAACACCAAAACAATAAGATACAGCGTGAATTTTTAGGGGACTCTGTTATAATTGAATCACAGGAATTTTAGTTACCTCTTTGTAGTCAGAAACCCTTGTGGACAAGTCTCCTGTCCATCATTCAGTGACGCAATAAACTTCAGAGCATCACATCCCAGCAGTCATATCCCAGCAGTCATCTGACCCTCGGGTGTATTATGTGATGAACATGAGACATGTCCGAAAGGCTTTGACGGTAATAAATTTGACTCCAAAAAACATCTACAATTCTTCTGACAATCACTTTTCTTTGTTGCTCGTAGGTTTCAGCAGCTCGTGAGGAAGTTCCAGGCAGACGTGGTTTCCCTGGTTACATGTACACGGATCTTGCTACCATCTATGAACGAGCAGGGCGTGTTGAAGGTCGTAATGGTTCCATTACACAAATCCCAATATTGACCATGCCCAACGATGGTAAGCTGTGTACTCCAAAGCTAAGCATATAATATCGCTGAGCATAGAAAATTGATTACCAGCCAAAATCCCTGTGTTGTACATAGTGTGTGACAGGTTCCCTGCTTGTGCTTGTTCAGCCATCCCTGCTTCAGACTACTTGTTCTCATCCTTTATGTTATCACTTCCTTTGCAGATATCACCCATCCTATCCCTGATCTGACAGGGTACATCACCGAGGGTCAGATCTATGTGGACAGACAGCTTCACAACAGACAGGTAAGTGGCATACACAACCCAAGTATATTCAGTCATGAATTAGTTCCCTTGATGATTGTAGTCAGTTCCGTACCAGGAATCCTGTAAGTGGTTGAAGAAGTCTTGTTGACTTTCTGAATCCATTCTGCCTAGATCAGGCTGGTAATGAATGACTTGGTGCATCACAGTGTAGGGCAGGAGGGCAGGATGTCAAGACAAATTGTTGGTGTCATGATGAGGAAAGGGGCAGGTGTATGCCTAACTGAGGTTTCCTCAATTTGGTTTAATAGATCTATCCACCAATCAATGTGCTTCCATCTTTGTCTCGTCTGATGAAGTCTGCTATTGGAGAAGGAATGACACGGAAGGACCATGCAGATGTATCTAACCAGCTGGTGAGAAACATTTTACTTACTGAAACCTGTGCATCTGGCCAGCTTTGATTAGATGAGCCCAATTACCTTGCATAAAACTTGAATTGTGTCGTGTGATTATTCAGCTTAGAATCATCTGGTCTAGTTGTAACCAAAGTCACCGAGGCAGGTAATACCTTTCTGTTAAGTGTGTACATGTGTGGATATACTTTGCATTGTTTGTTATTATGACAGTATGCTAACTATGCTATCGGGAAAGATGTTCAAGCCATGAAGGCAGTGGTTGGCGAGGAGGCATTGACACCTGATGACTTACTCTATCTGGAATTTCTGGGCAAATTTGAGAAGAACTTCATTGCCCAAGGTATGTATGGTCCAACTGAATCTACTTTATTGTTGTGCTAGCCAGACTTCAGATTCAGTAAGCTTGCTTGTGATAAATTGACTATTGCCAGGTCTTTGTAATTATTTCTCTCACTTCTGTGTCTCTTTTCGAAAATAGTATTCATAGAAGTTTACAATTTATGCAAGGGTGATTTTTTGCAGTTGGAGGTTGAAAGCTTGTGTTTGTTTTTCTCTGGCAGGGAGCTATGAGAATCGTACCGTCTTTGATTCTCTTGATATTGGTTGGCAACTTCTGCGAATCTTCCCGAAGGAGATGTTGAAGAGAATTCCACAGAGTACACTTGCTGAATTCTACCCCCGCGATGCCCGCCGTTAAGGTCTCAACCATCAAGTATCACCACTATTTTTCCTCTCATCTTATATCATTTTTTCTTTCGGTTGGGGACGTACAGGTTGTTTATTTCCAAGTAAATTTGATTTCAAGCTCGCAAGCAAACATTTACCAAGCATGTACTGATAGAGCTAATGTTAAACTGCAATAGTTTGACATTTGTGCAAGTAGATTTGTCACTGGAAGTATTTGGTTTAATTTTCCTGTTAAAAACATTCCAAGTATTCAAGTGAACTTTCTTTACTTCACTGAAAAACTTGAATCATGTAAGTTAAAGACTTTCTCCTCCGAACAACCATTTTGAATGCAAAATGCATTTGTGTTGCACATTTGAAATTGTTTTGAAGTCATGGTTGACTTGCAAAGGCAAACACATGCAAAGTCATATTTTGCATTGTTTCTTTTCCAGTAAAAAAAAAAAAATTAAGCTTCATTCTTTTCTTTGAAATCTGTTACATTCTTATTAAATTTTCTGCTTAATTCCTAGGTGTTTCTTACAAACTTTGGTCACGCAACTTGCAAGAGTGTTGAAAAAATATAAAAATCATAAAAAGAAGATGTGAAAACCTCGTGTCTTAAATGTGAAACATACAAATGACACTAAGATCATCAATCGAACAATTAATTTTTAAGAGACTGCTTTAGTAAAATTTTCTTGAGAGTCTTACTCTGCGGTACATTAACAAGTTGGAATCCCCTGGCAATACCTGTCTCCGATAAAATATATAGCAATTATGTTGTATAGAAGTATATATATGAAATCGTCATAAAAAAGGTGTCTTGGATGTTATTTGTGAACATATATATAAAAAGTACTGTAGTATAAGCCGGAAGTATGTAGATTCTGTGAACTAGCTTTAAATTTGGTATATACTTTACATTCTTTCTCCAATTCCAGAAGACAACCCGTGGCAAGCTTTGTCTTTGCGGGTGTTGGTTGTGATTGGCTTTCAGTTGTCAGATTTGTACTGTAAATTTGACTTCCAACCTTGTCATTACCCCTTGTTTCCTTGTAATCCAGATATTATCAAAGGTCATGACAAATACCAGTGATTAAATTTGCTCTAGTCTTTGTGAATAAACGTTAATAGAAAACTTTTTTTGATTCATTGTCACTGTATGTATCACCAGAGCATTTCCATGAATGTCTGTAAAATCTTTTGTTCTCCAAACAAACAGGTAATGTGTTTAATCAGTTGTTTTCAGTTACGAAAACTTCGAAACGGTAAAAAAAAATGAAAAAGAAAGACCAGACGACGTCAAAACCACGCATGCGACGACAAAAAGCTAGAGCGCCCTCCGCTGTCGCCGAAAACCATGTGGGAAAACGATGTTGATGTTTTCCTAGCCTACGTACATGGTGGATTAGACTATTTTCTGCTGGGTTGCCCTTTCTCTGAAGAATTGTTTTCCCACAGTATTGGTAAATTCTGGGTTTTATTCTAAAGGTAGCTACGAAATAATTATTAAAATGGTGTTCAAGAAGTACAATAAATTAGATTATCTCATGTTTGCCTCGAAAGAAATTTCCTTTTTATCTTTATCAAGAGTTTTACCTGAATGCAGTGCCGTGTTCCGTCCAAAATTATGTAGATTACACATGTCGTATACACATACAGTTGGCTTGAAGAACGCCTCAACCATATCAATGAGTGAATTTGTGTTACTGTGGAAGATGTGTGAGAAATAAGATCTGCCGTGTCGCTTGTAATTTCTGGAGGATTTAAACTGCATACTTTTCTTGCCAGGTTTGCATGTGGACGGGTTTTACGAATCCCTCGAAAGCTGAACGGCACCAGTTATGAGCATGAGAACCCCCGTAGCATTAGTACCACCGCTGGCGTGACTAGCACAGCAGTGTTGGCTTGCCGTGCAAGTTCGAGTGCTTGACGTCGAACGCACATCATCATGTGAAATTCTGAGTAGGCCTAGGTAAGTGAAAACACAAGTCATGATCTGGATCAATACTCTGAAAAGGTCTAAAGCAGCATCACTCAGAATGGAACTGGGGAGTTTTTCATTCCAGCTGTAGGCCTAGATGGTTTTGCAGTGCTGTTTTGAGGCAAGATAACTTCTCCGTAGAAGTCATGTGTTTTGGCAGCTTATTCCAATCTCCTGCCATACAGCGGCAGATATAAAAGAAGGCAAAAGAAAACTAAAAAGCTGCAAAAAGATCGCAGTGGAATGAACAACAGGTCCGTCGTGGTGCACAGGTGAACATTGTAAAGACAATAGTACTGGTACATGTAGGTGGTAGTAGGAATTCCGAGAAAGCAGTATTGACTGTTTTACGAGTCATGATTTTATATTCATAATCGATAAGGAAAAAATGAGAATTCCATAGCTGATCATAGGCCAACCCCCAGAACTGTGGGGCGTGTTGGGTCCGCGTGGTCTGACGTCCGCGACGGTCTGACGTTGGACCCCACAGTTCTGGGGATAAGCTGACCATGCTGGCCTTTCTGTATCGCCAGCACTGACCACTGCACTCTTTTCCTACATGTAGGCATGGTAGGCCTTCCTCTATGCATAGAGCAACCCTACTCATGAGACTGAGTTGAAAAATTCTTTTTTTCTCAGTTGGCCTTGGCCTAAATGCATCGGTGTTTTTCCTGCTAAATTTGGCTTTTCAGTTTTTTACTTGCTTCCAATGGCCAATAACATATTGACATGATTGAGCATGTTGAAGTCACTGCAGTGAAACTTACACTAATTTATGATGTGCATACACTAGTTATGTGTATTGCCTTTTCTGTTTGTTCATGTCAACCGATATGGAACCATCAATATGTACCAAATTAATTTTGACATTGTTAATGCAGATCTTTTTTCAGTGCATTTCTTGGTTGCCATCACAGCCTTTGTAGGCCATAAATTCTCTCAAATTGACTGAGTCCTGCCCTTGTATGTAATATTGCAGCTATTAAACAAAAGTCACTGCCAAATATGTACGGCACATGTACCGGGAGTGAGTCTGAAAAGTTACAAGTTATATTATTATTATTTATTTCTGGTAAAGACACCAAGGATTTCTCGAAAGCACCCTAGGTGCTGTAGCTCACAAGCCTGAAGAAACCTGTAGAGAGGAGACAATGAGAAGCAGTTTCAGTTCTTGAGGTGGGAAGAAAACCCTAGAGGAATATTCTGGGTAAAAACTCCGCGGAATCAGGTGTGGACTGAAAACTCATCCGCTTCTGGACTGAGCCAGGAATCAAACTCAGACTGCAGAGACTTGAACTGCATGGGAGCCATCATAATTATAAAATTATACAATATGTTTGCATTATGAGTCATCAATCACTATACTAGGCCCCAGTAATAATTTATATCAAGCACTCCCTGCTGGGGCAGTTATCAATGTTGATGATGCTGGGCCTGATATTTATCTTCTTTTTTTTCTGTTTTCAAAATTCTTAAAAAACTCCTTTCTTTATTTACTGGACACCTACAAACACGTGAAGGACTATCTTGTGGCCCCTCTAGCCTGACTGACAAAATCTATTGACACCTATTTCAGCCAGGCCTGCAGCCTTGTAAAAAGGGGTTGGGATTGTGCGGTGTAATATAACTTTCTTTTGTTCAGGAACCTGGCTGATTGCGCTGCTAACCTCTTTTCAATAGGGGCCAGATTAGCATGCAGTGGTGCTGTGTGGCTCATCCCTGGGGTGTTGGAGCGCTTTTGTCCCCAGTGGTAATCCACTCGCTCTAAATGCCCCTAACTGTGGTATACTGTTTGAAAACAAGGCTGGATTATCTCCACTTTTGAGAGTGAAAAAAATGTTGGTCATGCCCAGCAGCCTGGTCCTTTGTTCCGAGTACGGTCTTTTGTTACAAGGCCCTGTTCCCTTTGTCTGAGTTTGGAGACCCCGGCCACGCATATATAGCACATGTATCCGGAATCCGGGAGTGCTTAATAGACACTTTCTAATATGACTTAAAATTGTGAATGCTTTTCAGGTTATGGTTGTTCCAGCATTCAGCAATATGTGTTATTAACACAAGGAATCCTACATGTATGTAAGGAGGAAAAGCAATGTCATGTGTTTCTTTCGAAGATTTTCAGTGGATCGGCACAATGATTTAAAGTACACGTAGTTGGAAAGTTTCATGAGTGTTAGGTTATTTGTAACACATTTGTACATATTGATGTTCCTATTTTGCAGAGACAACTAGTATCCCTTCCACAAATGTCAGTCGAAAAATAATATGTCATTTGTTATTGGAAGAATTTGACAGACAAAAATTTAACACACATGTAGAAACTATTTTCTTTGAGTCCATGGAAGTATCAGAATGCACTAAATAGAAAGCCAAGGCTGAGCTTTTGAAATATTCAGTGCATTGGAAAGTGCTGGCATTGTTAATTTTTTTAATTTTAATTTTTTTGTCATCGTATGTTTTTGTAAAATTGATAGTGGAGAAAGCTACACGTACATGTGTGTCTTTAAATATATTACGTTTTTAAAAATTGATTTCAGAATTGACAAGAGGACAATCTCCTGAGACTTGCCTCATCCAAACACACATGCACAGATATCTCACGTCCATTCATCATTGATGAAGTTATCAGCCTGAGACAGTGACTCGGACAAACACATCTCATCCTGTGAGTGCTGGGAGTTGTCAGATGGATTGCAGGGTGTTGGAGGGTCCATGTCAAATCTTATTATCAACAGCAGTTGACCATGTTTTCAACATTCGGCTTCTTGGGACGCAGGACTAGCATGGAGTTTGCCAATTCGCCCCACTCTTCCTCAAGAACAGAAGGTGAGTCTTACAGCATCTACATGTACATGTGTGCACTCAAGCCACATTGGCTCAATGCATGTCAATATAAAGACGGAAAACAATCCTTGACAGTGATTGATTGTTCTTCATTTTAGCATGATTACACATCAGGAACTAGGGCTTCATTTAGCATGGCTCTTCCAGTAGTTCTTTACTTTAAGTCCAATGCAGACACGTTTCAGTTTACAGACTGTATAGTTCATTTCATGATGTATGTTCCAAAAAAGCTGTATCCTCACTGGGTGATCCCTGTCCACCTTTTCCGAGGTTGTATCGTGGTGTTGGGATGTGATGCCTGGCTGCATGGTATTTCAGGTTTCATGGCTTCTGACTAGCGCCCCTCAAACAAAAATATTGACAAGTGGGAAGAACCACCAACATGGGGCTGGATAGCTCAGTTGGTAGAGCACTGGTACAGTGTTCCGGAGGTCGCAGGTTCAAATCCCGCTCCAGTCAGTTTCTTTGTTCATCTTTATAATCAGTTTACAATTGCTAGGCCAAAACCATCACTTTTGTCGGTAATTTCAAATTTCAATGAATAGCCCTACATGTACAGTGTATGTACATGTACATATGTAGTCTTTGTTTGCAGCAATGCAGAACTGCACACTTTAGAGACTGCTGACTAGAAATTTTCATGACACTGATATTCATTAAATTGATAAATCCATAGCAGTTGATACATAAACAATAAATTAATGATTTGAGGACTAAAGAGGAAGTTATTTTATTTGTGGAGGTACATTGTAAGACCACAAGGAGCCTTGACTTATAAGATGGCTTCATAAAGATGAGCATCGTTATGTGCAATAGTATGCATATATGCACATGTGCAATGTACGTACATACTTCTGGTAATATGTGTGCAGGTATTTGATGATGTGCACTCTGTGGTACTCATCACTTCACACAGATACATGTAGAAAATGCAAAAATTGGCAGCCTGAAAAGTCTGAATTTAACATACCTTTATTTTATTTTGTGTCTTGACTCCTTACTTTCAATCGTTTGATTGTATTAAGAACTGAAGCTGACTCACACAGCCTCGTTTTCAAACACGGAAGTGTGCAGATCGACGCTAAAAGTGTCATATTGGGATCCCTCTGTTATACGGTACATGTACATCCACGTGTAGACTGAGTGAGAGATACATGTAGTGATGAGAGTCAAGTCATATTGCTTACTCGTTTGGTACAAATGTACATGTAGTTTGGTTGATTGATTGTTAACACCTGTACAAATGTGTGACAGGTTAATTTAGTTAAGTGTACAATTTTGGCACAAGACTTCCATTGTTTTTATCTATTTTTACATGTCCGGTGCTATTATTGAAAACTAAAATTACTTTCACTTGTCATCCATAAACTGAAAACTGCTCATTCATAGCCTATCAGCTCTGCTTAAAGACCCTGCAATATGTTAGCGTCCGACAGAGCATGAAATTTTCTTGAACAGTGTAGTGTGCTGAAATTCTGAGACCAAGGTAATGCGTCATCTGGTGTTGTACTGTCAGCTGCGAAGTTTGTTCAAGATAATTATTGGACCACTTTTCTTTTTTTTCCATTTGGCTACATTATTGACCATGTTTTTGATCATACTTGTGTGATTTAGAAAGTGGATTCTCCAAATTCTTTAAGAACATGTAGTGTAAATACATTTTTGAAATTCATTTTTTATAAAGGTATTTTGTAACTTGCATCCCTGTTTCTTCTTTTTTGTGTGTCAATTAATCTAATGCAGCATATAATAAAAGCAATAATATGTCTTAAGTAAAATTACGCCAGAGCTAGTGGTGTACCGGTATATGACTGACTTGCTGAAGTACAGTACTTACAATAAAGATGTACACATCTGTAGATTCTATAAGACACTGTACAAATCTTGAATCGTCGATGCATGCACTTATTTCCAAGATCTGACAGATAAAATATGCCAGTTGTAGATTAATTCTTTTATTATATTGTGATAAATTTGAATCCTTGTTTCTTCTTGAATATTCTGCAGCAGTGATATCACCAATTCAGTTTGTACTGTGATGTACACCTGTAGGTTTCTAAACATACAGGTTCATGTACATGTACGAACTAAACCACTTATGAAATGAATTAAATCCCTTGGTTTTCTGTCCTACTGTTCAAACTGCTAGCATTGTACATTTGATTGTGACCCACTTGTGCTTGTCATGACGTACATGTATGAATCCTCTTTTACATACATGTATCCTGTAACTTCATTTTTCTGAGTTGGTCTTATTTGATTTTGTTTACAGAGCAAGACAGAGATTCTCTGGAGACTGAGGATGGATCTCAAATGATGGCCCATCAAGCAGCAGCCACTGGTAATGTACCACTTCTTATGGAGGCTGTCAACCATGATCCAAGTGCCTTAGAGAGTCAAGATGAAAAAGGTTTGCTTTCTGTCATGCTCTACCTTGACCCCAACCCACTTTTTGCATTGAACCTAATCCCAACTCCCCTCCTTGATACCAACCCCAATACCACAATGTGACCTCCCATCCTATTCTCCCATCCAACCTCTGTCTTCCTGTTCTGCCTGAATCCTACCTACCCACCTTAACCCAAGCCCAACTCTCTACCTAGGCCTCAACCTCATCCCCGACATTTACATGCACCTCAACTGCTTCTGCCCATCTTGACCCCAATCTCACCTTGACACCAATCCTACCAGTAGCTCACCACCTTGACCTGATGAACCCCTCCTTGTTGACCCCAGCCCCACTTCCATCCACCCCAGTCCCTTGTTCTACCCCAATTCCACTCTTTCCCACTTTAAATCCTCAATCTCACAAATGTCCTTCCTGACCCACTACCATGCCTTGCAAACACTGGACTATTGTCCATTTTTTTGTGTGTGATCATTATTTTTTGTTATATGACTTACCTGACCTGCATTATACATGTAAGTAGACATTACTTTTTTCTATGCCCTGTTAAGACAAATTTATCAGTTCTTAGACTTCCAAAAATTCCTCAGTCATGCAAAGTTACTGTCATCAACATCAGTCAGATTACTGGCTGAGTGACTCAACTATTTCTAAATGAACTGTTTTGGTGACAGTCTCATTGAAATAAATTTTGAAAAATGCTTAAGTTATCAGACTGGCATTGCATCCAAAGGATTGTACACTGAATTCATTATACCACATTCTATTGAAAAGTGGGTGTGAGAATGAAGTATTCATTAAAATGTCAGCCTGTTTGTTGGCTTTTGATTAGGGTCTGTGTACATGCACCATGTACATGTACATATCTGTGAGGTGTTTGACGTCATAACAGTGATTTCTGAAATGCATATCGCCATGTATATTTGTAAGGCCGTGATTTCTGCCATTCTGTTTTCGTGTAATGTGCATAAAGCTGGCATGTTGTTTTTAAATTTGAAGGGAAATTGGAATGAATCTATTATACATGTACACATACATGTAGCTCTTAATGGGAAATTTGCAAAACTGAAAGTAAGATGTGATGGTTGACGCTTTCAATATCCTGCAAACAGGCACATATTCACATAATAACTCAGCCAAATGCTTCTCCAGAGAGCAGGGAATTCTGAATTTAATCCATCTTCAGTACAGGATATAATGCCCAAGGTACCAGTATGCACCATTTGTGGGTAAGACCTAGCGGCTCCTGTGTTTTGGTAACCCAGGAGCGTATTATGCATCTTAATCTCTACGTGGGGCATCACGCTGCTGTTTCCACAGCTCCCGTATCTAATCTTGCACAGAATTTATGTAGATATCGGTACATTTACAAAAGTTCAAGCAGTACAGTTTTCTGTGCATGTACTAGTACATGTAC